AAAAAAAAAAAAAAAAAAAAATCTCGTTTAGCAATTCCTTTATACAGATGTTGGAAGAATGTCGTCATTTGTTCCCAAGTCGATGGGCACCGGACTCTCAAGTGGTTTTTTCGCCCATTGGTGGGTTCTTTTACTTGATTGAATTATTGGAACCATCCATAGATGTTCATTGATATCTTGTTTTTGGTAGACAAGATTGTGTGTTCGAGATATATGATTGTTACCATGATAATACTATTGTATTCGTATATGCAATGTACCAGGCTAACTTGTCGTCTCCTAAAACTGGCTTAACTAAACGTTGGTCTTTTTAATTTACAACATTGATACAAATATTTAATATTTTACTCGTTTTGGTGTATTATTATACAACCGAAGCAGACACATGATTTTGGTGTTATAGAATGAGAGTAAAATAAATGTAATGTTGAGTAAAATTGAATAAATGCTGGTATAAGCTGTCGTGTGTGGCTTCCTGTGTAATCACGATCAGGCATATGTTTTGATATTTGGACATCAATTACGTACAAGTTAAATTAGTTCCAACCACGAAATTTACAAATTAGCATTACCAATGCTGATACTAATCGTTATCATTGTCTACATTCAAATATCTAATTATTTAGGAAATGTACACGTTGCATTTAGCATTAGAAGTACATCACAGATAAGAGATTAATTGGACCTGTACAGCATATACTTATATATATCGAATATTTTGTCACCATCATCAGTTATATTAATTATTCATTTTGTACGAGGGATAGAGAACCCTGGCTAGGAATGGATCCCAAGAGACAAAAGAGAGAGAGTTAAATGGAACTATCGTTTTATCATATTTTAACCTACGTGGTTGAATTTGAATAATATAGACGTTAATTATCACAGCTTTGAAAATGATGGTTTTCGATCTAGGAGCATCTAACAATTACGGATACGTTAAGATATCTTGTAAAGGCCACTAAAGTTATTGTATTGATCAGTTGAGTAGTTGACAAGCAAATTGAAACAGGTAATTAGTTGCTAAAAATCAAACACACTATTAGGTCTACTATCACAAAAAAAAAACTAAAGGTTAGGTATAATAATATACTTACTTATATCATAAAAGTGCTATAATTATTGTGAAGTGCCCTGATTTCTCCATATTGCTAGTTACGTTTAAGCTTTTTCTCTAACACAAATACGTCTTTACGAAAAAACATTTGTGATGGATATATAATACCAATAAGATATAAACAATAACGCTAACCTAATAAACCTAAACGCGGATATAAGAATTCATTGATAAAACATTAAAGTCGAGATCTAAATCTATGAAAATGCGACTAACTAGTCGATCGTTTAATATATTTTGCTAGTAAGTACTATATTCTCTCTTTTTATATTTTCTTGTAGAGATAAAGTGACAACTCATATACAAAGAGAAAGCTGAGTTCAGTAACCCAACATGCAACCAATAAGAAGAAACGTAAAACATGTAAAACTCAGTAGCAACCCTTGTTATAAACGCAAAGGAAAATTTCGACGAGCAATAACATTATCTTAGAATCATATTAATAGTCTCAGACTTCTTTGTCAAAAAATAAATAGTCTGAGGCTTAAAGGTTCCTTCTGTTCTTGCGCATAATTTTTCTTTTTTACCAAAGTTCTTCCGCAGACTATGTATTCATTGTTGTCCGCTAATTCTAAATACCACAAGTTCACAAAAAAACTCCAACACAATATCAACGTCAGGACTTTTTCTGCTCTTAACTAAATTTAACAAAGTAAATACTGATAGATTTTTAAACTATTAACTTACGGTTTAGAAATCATATTCGTGGATTTAAAAGATGAATTACGGAAGAGTGGGATAAGAAGGAATCAAAGTTGGAATATATTTTTCATAAATTCGTTTGTCTCCCATCATTAGGACTGATGGGAGATTCCCATCTTAAAATTAAAAATCTTAAACACAAATCCAAAAAATCTGTAGATATTTTATTTGTCTTTGTAAAGAAACAATAATCAAATCACAATCCACCATCAATCTGATATCCAACCAAAAACAATCAAAGTGTTGAATTATAAAGTTCCATTTCTTAAGCTTTTCAGAAATTACCTATAAAGTGTCATTTATATTAATAAACTAAGTCAATTTGCAATGATCATACAAATTTAATAATTTCTGAATGTGATATATATTTACATAACCTCACTATCAAACACTTAGCGACTGGAATTTTGTGTAAAGCGTAAGAAACAAAACTTAATTAAATAGAACTTTCATCTGTGTCAATATAATAAGACAACAATTTCTCCAGCAAAGGTGGTACAAAAATTAAATCTAGTACATAATTGGCTCTTTAATAAAGAAAAGGGAGATGGCGAAAAGAAGCCAATTAAGACAAAGACTATAATGTAAGGTTATTTAATTGAAATTATCATCAATTATGTCGTCGAATAAATCACAATTACTGCTTCTTGTGATGTAGATAAATATTTGGGATATTTCCAAATATTTATTATTTATTTTATTAGTTATTTTAGATAATTATCTTTATTGTTTTAGGGTTTTATGGTTTTCATATATATAGGCTTCTTATGCCTAGAGTTGTATTCAGTTGATTGATTATTAATAAAATAAGCTTTGCTTTATACCTTGATATAGATTTGATTCAATTCATCTATTTTAAGTTGCCTTGAACAAGATTCGATTAAATTCATCTTTTTCAGGAAGTTGGTCTCAAGAAGCTAACGAAAGTAACTCTTGATCGATCCAAGAACAGGTCTCGAAGAACCCTAAATTCTTAGATCGACCGTTCAACCTATCTATCCGCTACATCATCTTGGGACCAAAACTATGTGCTATATGGAAAGCTGTTTAGCATATTTAGCGAATATGAAAAGATCAAAACTAAGGTAGATGAAATACTCTACAAAGAAAAGAACTTAACATTTTTAGCTATGGGTTACAATATGTAGGAAATTATTCAGAAAACAAACATTATGAACTCATTAACTTACATAGACCTACATCCTTCTAAGTTCTGACTTACGATAATGGATGAGGTAAGCAGGAAATTAAATAGTATATCTTTATGTTACCTGCCTCGTATTTCCCTGTACGACCACGACTTCATGGTAAAAACAATGAGCAATTAGCATATGGGTCATGATCTAAAATCCCACCAAACAAAAATTAAATCAAACTAAATCTTGTTCTTACATGATAATCTCTTCAACTAACTTTGTTTTAAAACGGTTTTATAGATGGAGAAGAGACTGAGTGAATAACTCTCAAGATAGTGAGAACATAATAAGATATGATATTCAAATCTGATTAAAAGGTTTTAACACTTGCAACTTGAGATGATATGTAAATAATTTTATTATTTAATAATAAGCAGACAAAAACATTCCTTTCAACCTTTTGTTTTGATTAAAAATTGCTTTCCAACCATCAAGTAGTGTTAGTTTTTTCGTATAATAAGATTTGTTAGCCGGAATCCAATTCGTCTATAGTAAAGAGACTTTTAATGTGTGTTTACGTTAGCATATCTATAAACAAGATTATCATTTAAAAAAAAATAACACTTGTTCCATGTATTAAACTAAACCCTTTTTTGCAGCTGGGTATCCTTTTACAGGATTAGTGTAATTTCTATCTAAGCAACTCGCATTGGCCAATGTAGATGATTTTTTTTTTTTTTTTTTTGACGTCGACCAATGTAGATGATAATCATAGAAATACACGTATATTTATGCTTTTACTCATATGATTGATCGTTGTGGATGATGTTTTTGAATTGAATGGAATAAAATGATCCAAAGTACACAATGTTTATACGAGTCAAGTGCGTGTACTTGTTAAACTCAAACCGGAACCTAGGCCAACTTATAGCATTACCAGGCCTGAATCAACGGCCCAAATCCTGAGATTAGGTGGTGGTGTCTTTAAAGAGTGCCAAAACCAGAACAATATCTTATTTTCAGCATTTTTAGTTCAAACTTCAAAGATTCCGATGGCCCAAAATAGGCTAAAGTTAAAATTATGCACCAGCCGGGAATCGAACCCGAGTCTGTACCGTGGCAGGGTACTATTCTACCACTAGACCACTGGTGCTTGTTATACCAGTAAACACAAATTTCAAAGAAACCAAAACCTGACATAGAAAATCATACTAAGACTAAGAGTAACAAAGCTTTACTGTAAATATGCTACAAAAACAACATATATTGGTATATAGATAAGTGGGCTCAGAGTATACGTGTTGATGTACTTTACACGCTACATATTTCTGAAGTTAATGATCTCAGATCTGCATATTAGCTAACTAGAATCAGCTACTTTCGCATACTTGTCCTTGTCAAGCAACTCATTGTTCGACTTAATGACTATATGCAATATACAAATGTAACATCTATCTCTAAGTTTACACTAAGCCAGTAGATATAAATATCCATACCATATTACATAAGTGTGGCCTAATCAAAGAAGTCCATTTATTTCCCTATGAAATGTCAAAAGCTCTGTGCACACCGCTTTAACTCCCCCGGTGCATTGTCCCTATCATCCTACATAAACCATCAAAGTTAATAGTCTTGCTATTGTGCTGTCTAACATTTATGGGCTATGATGAACTTATTGGTCAAAGAAGTCAGTCTTGAAATGTCAAAATATTCGTATCTTTTGATTTTTTTTCTCTTATGGTCATTGAAACAAACATATCGCACATGTTATTCGTTAACTCTAGTTCTCTGTAAAGCATGAGAGTATTAATTCTGAGGTCACGTCAATTCTCTATAGGCTAATAGCCTAACAGTAATTACAATTTATTCTTTTAAAAACCTTAATAAGAAACGGTGCGTTTCCGGGAGATGGGCCAAAAAGCAAATAGAGAGGAAATAAAAATGGAAACTGAGCTCTCCAACTGTCAGTTTGCAGGAAAAGGCAAAGGCTTTAACTTGACCGCTAAGAAAAGGCACGTGATAAACACTGTCCAGTCTCTGAGGCCACCAGTGAGAGCGTGTCTTTCACGCAACATCAGATTCGAGTGGTCTCAAGTAGAAACTAAAGAACGAACGTACGGCCACTTTCCTTTTCTCACAATTCTTCACCGCAAAACCTCACCCCAAAAAAGGGAATCAGAAGAAGAAGAAGAACATTAAACAGAGAATATCATATATACTAATACTACCACAAGTGTTACCAGCAGACAGAACAGAATCAATCAACAGATCTGGTGTTTTTAATGGCGGACAATGAAGAGCAAGAGAGGACGACCTCGTACAAGCTGTTTTTGAAAGTAATAAGCAAGAGAAGAACATGGGTCTGTCTCTTTCTTGTTGTCTACGCGATCCTCTTGTCTTCTTCTTGGAACTCGCTTAACTCGATTGTAGATTGGTACGGAGAGCACCATCAGACATCATCTGGATGGCCTGCGGTTTACGCTTCGGTGCTTCTTGGGGTTGTGTTCGGAGTTCTTTCGATGGCAGCGGCGCTGTTTATCGCTGTGCCGGCGATTGTGGTGATATGGATATCGGTGGTGGTGTCGATGGCGTTCGCTGGAAAATCAAGGAGGAGAGTTGTGGTTGAAGGGAGGAAAGTGACGAAAGAGATCGCTGGGTTTGTGTTTAGGGTTCTTCTTAAAGAAGGAAACTTTGTAGCTCTTCTTTGTGCTCTTCTTGCTTACTTCGTTTTCTTTAATTCTTACTCTATCTCTTCTTGATTCAGTTTTAGCCTCTTTGTCATAAATAATTACATTTTACAGCTAATTATCAAACCTCTTTTAGTTAATTGTCCTCGGGTTTAACAAGATTTTGGTGTTCTTGAATCTGTATATCGATCTTCTTTTGTTGGATAGTTCTGGTGTCAGATCGAATGCTTCCACGTCATGACACCAAGTTACCAACACGTGAAGTTATGATTTTTCTTTTATTATTTTTTCTTCTTCTTTCGGTCTGTCTCTTTGTCGGTCTCTCTGTCGTTATGTTCTGTAAAAGCGCTTTTGAACCGTGATATGGGCTATAGAGCCTACTGGGCTTACGGTTTACCGTTAATAGCCCATTTTCTCTAGTGAACTAGTGAAAAACTTGGTTAGTGAAAACATCAGATATTTATGGATGGACTAATCTCTCTTAAATGTTCTAAACCCAACTAATTCCGTGGTTTGAAAATTTGTATTTTTAAAGTCTAATGAGAGGCCAAGCGCTAGGTTCTCTAATAACAGTTGGACAATTGATATACTGTATATATATTCAGGTTCTCTAATAACAGTTGGACAATTGTCAAATTTTTATATTGATATTTAAAAGGCCTCTACTATTCTTGATTAGTTTAAAATATGATTGTGTCCTAGAAATTTGAAATAGATAGATGTTGATGACAAAAGAAGAAGATAGACTTGTATCTGAAATTAGGTATGTTCAAACTGATGTTGTTAGATCAAACCTAAAATGTGTTGAGTAAGATAATTTCTCCAATTTCACACTCTTCATCATGTATCATTAATAATAGAGGGATCAATCTCAGTCAATGCATTGTCTATAAGATGATTCAAAGATATAATTATGCATGTTTGACAAACATGTTTCCATACTCTTGATCCAATGTAGATCTACAGTTCTCACACATCATTTATAGCATAACTTTAATTTCATTTTACATCTGTCTTAATTTTTTGGTTGGTTGTGTACATCATGGTTTCAAAAGAGTAATTGCTCTGTCGGAGTGTTTTTTCTTGCTACACTTATAATGACTCGGCTTATATTTTTTTGGGTCTATCCTCATTTTTCTATACACTGATTTAAATTGTAAGATCTTAGATGGCTAATAATAAACTTGCATAATTAGTTACATTTAGTTATATCCTCACAGATTCTTTATGCGTAAAGAAAAGCATCACCGGCAAAATAAGAAAGAAAGCGTCACCGACAACATATATAACATTTAAGAATATAGTTCCTCTACTTTCTCAAAATATAAAAAAGAATAGTAGTTCCTCTGTCTTGAAGTGCTAGATAGTAGTACCAAGATGTCGGCAAAAAAAGAGTATTACTTATGAGTCTAGCTGATTTTCGTTTTAAATTTTAATATTAAGTAGTCAAGAAAAATAAGAAAAATACAAAGGCGGAGACTATTGTGATGAACAGGTTCAGACAATTTATTAGTATAGTAATGCATTTGTTGCTAAACTACAAGGATAATAAAAAGGATATTGCCACAAATGTAACTGTCATGCTTATCTGTGCTATTTTTCTTCCATCATAACAACGTGGAGAACACAAAGAAACTGTTTCTCAACGTTCTCATCAACAGAACCAAAAACAAATGCTGTTGAATGTTGAGCTTATGCAAAAGTTAATATCTTAGATGTAAAATGCAATTATTTTATGTATTTATCATAGCTGTCTAATTATATTTTGTAATTAATTGGTAATCGGTATTAAGGCGAGTTTCTTGGATAGGGTCTAATCTCAAACCTGAAAGGGAAAGGTTACATTTGTTGTGGGGGTTCAGAATTCCTTATTTTGTATAACATGATTGAACAATTAACATTTCTCAAATGTGTTAATGAACCCTAAAAAATGATGAAATTAAGGAACCACCGATGATGTGACAAGCTAGTATCTATGAAAAAAAGTGCTATGGTGTGAGATTTACTAACTTAATTAGATAATAAATTGTGTATAGAGAATGCAATTTCACATGTGTTAATTTAGTGACTCCAACGCATGTGGCCTCTCTCTCTCTGTTGTTTTTTTCTTAAAGAAACAAAGATCTCTCTTTTTCATATATACGCTTCGAATTTATAAAAAAATCCGGTTATTAAACTTACATAAATGTTTCTTTTTCTATTTATGCTTCAAACTGAATCAAACAATCCTATAATTTTGTTGGCTTCGGGTTCTGGGATATTATATAATTTATGTACAGTAAAAAAATCTAAATACAAAAAGACATAGATCTGTATTAGTGGGTAGTCAATTAATCAATCAAGCTCACATTTTTCTGCTAGTTTGTATTATATCCTTTAATGGGAGCGCTTTTTCAAATCTTGTTGTTTTTGGTATAAAGAGATAAAAAATTTCATCTGGGTTTGATTCATTTGAGTGACATTCATTCACGGAAGCGAAAGGACAAAACTTTACTTCTGGGTTCTACCGACAAGAGCTGTCTTTCACCATCTCTGTGTTGAAACTTCTCCGAAGTGTAAAGCATGATTCGAGCAAGGAATGGGTCAATGATACCAGTTCTGGGGTTCGTGATATGTGCAGCTTTCATCTACCTCTCATTCAGGGACTTGTGGCTCAATCACAAGTGGAGAACCGAGATAGGGTTTGTGAAACGGAACGGAACTCAGTTCGTGGTGGACGACAAGGCTCTGTATGTGAATGGGTGGAACTCGTATTGGTTCATGGACCATGCTGTGAATGAACACAGTAGATACCTTGTGAGTGAAATGCTCGAAACTGGTGCCAAGATGGGTCTCACTGTTTGTAGAACTTGGGCCTTCAATGACGGTGGTTACAATGCTCTCCAGATCTCTCCTGGCCGGTTTGATGAGCGAGTCTTCAAGGTACATTTTTGTTTTTACAAGATTGTGTAACAAATCATAGTTTTGGAACTAGAGTGTCCAATGTTTGTCAATGATGCTATCTCTGAGTTTTTGTTTTAACTTGTGTAATGCTTTTGTTTAGGCCTTGGATCATGTGATTGCAGAGGCGAAGAAGCATGATGTTAGATTGCTTCTTTGCTTAGTGAACAACTTGCAAGCGTATGGAGGGAAGTCACAGTATGTGCAATGGGCGTGGCAAGAAGGTGTTGGTCTCAGCTCCTCTAATGATTCCTTCTTCTTTGACCCTTCTATCCGCAAATACTTCAAGAACTACCTCACGGTACTAACTCTTTTTATTGCTGATATGGTTTGAAACATAGATGATTCACAACATTCTGTTTCTTGATTTTGCAGGCTCTGCTAACACGCAAGAACTCAGTAACTGGAATAGAGTACAGAAACGACCCAACGATTTTCGCTTGGGAGTTGATAAACGAGCCTAGATGCTCTTCTGATGTCTCTGGCGACACTCTCCAAGTCAGTCCTGCAATTTCACTTATTAGTTTATCACTTGTTTACTATTCAGCAAAGGTACCAATGTGTTGTTCTTGTGGAATCATAGGAGTGGATAGATGAAATGACAAGCTTCATAAAATCAATCGATGACAAGCATCTCCTCACAGTTGGTCTTGAAGGCTTCTATGGTCCCAATAGCCCCAAACGGCTGACAGTTAATCCAGAACAGTGGCCATCTGAGCTTGGAACAGACTTTGTTCGAAACTCAAACTCCTCAAACATAGACTTTGCATCAGTTCACATCTACCCTGATCACTGGTAAGCCCTTTGTAACATCTGATTGCTAAGAGCTCTTAAAAGAGCTAATTATCACTTCCTCAGGTTTCATAATCAAACCTTTGAAGAGAAGTTAAAATTCGTGGTGAAATGGATGCAATCTCACATAGAAGACGGGATGAAAGAACTCAACAAGCCAGTTCTATTCACGGAGTTTGGACTCTCGAACTTGAACAAAGACTACGAGCCATCACAGAGAGAACGTTTCTACAGAACAATCTTCGATTTGGTATACAAATCAGCAAAGAGAAAGAAGGCAGGAGCAGGGACATTAGTGTGGCAGCTGTTCATGGAAGGCATGGAAGGTTTCAACGACGAGTTTGGGATTGTTCCACACGAAGAAGATCCCGTGTATAAATTAATGATCGAACAGTCTTGTAGGTTGGGTCGTGTCACAGGACGTCGTGAGGAACGTAAATTGAGAAAAATATGTTCGAAAAGACATTGAAAGAGAGAGAGAGAATCATATGTACACTGAGTTGTTTTTTGTATAACAGTGAGCTCTGATTCTAGTTTTGATCCAACTCTTATATTCAAAATTACTTAGCTCAAGTTCATAGAGTAATTCATATGATACATTCAAAGGAAAACAAAAGAGAGAATCATATTTATAACTAAGATCTTAAATCTAAACCCTAGAAAACTAATTCAAACTACGCTTTGCTAATCTTGGAGACGACCTCTTTGAGCTTCTCTCTTCAACCTTTTGTGTCTTCTTCATCTCCTTAACCAAGGAGGCCGTTTCAATCGGTTTCTTCTTAATGGTTTTAAACTTGCTCTCTTCAGCGACTCTATCAAAGTCATCAGAGAGTTTCCTCCTGATGCTAGCCACACAGATCTCTTCTTCTTCTTCATCAGCATCGTCGTTGAGATCTATGAACCTCCTTCGTTTCACAGCAACAGGAGCAGCAGGGGGAGAATCAAAACCAGATCTCTTCTTCACCGGACTGGATTTCTCGAGCTGAGCGCGTAGCTTATCGACGTTTCCTTCGATTCGGCCCTGGAGACGGAGACGCGTGAAGTTGAGACCGCCCATGGACCAGTGGGCTTCTCTGGCCCATGAGAGGAGAGGATCGAGTACAGAGAGCGGTGGATCTACGCGGTGAGTGTTGAACTTAGGGTTATCGAAGAAGCGAGGACGGGGGAGTCCGTTTCCGTAGAACTCGACGGGCCTTATGGCGGAGTTTTTCTTCACCGGCGTCATCATTGTGTTGTAATTAAGGAAGGAGACAAAGAGAGAGTTTATAGATGGGAGAAGGATGAGTGATTGGAGATTGAGAGGATTAGAGGATGGAGTTATATAGACGAACATCTTGGCGGTTAAGGTTATTGGCGCGAGTCTCTACCGCGCGCGCTCCGTGAAATTTCCTTTTCTTTTTTTCAGCGCTCCTTGAAATTTCCTTCTTTTTTTTTGGCGCCTCCTCAAGTTTTGCTTCCGCGCAATTTTAATTTCCTTTTTTGAGTATTTGGCACGTTTTATATAGAGAAATAGGATTGTGTTTCTTAACTATCATGAATATGTTACTTATTTATTTTCGTACTAATTTTTCATATATGATTATGTGGTATGATAACAAATAAAAGTAGACCAAGATTGCCAAAAAAATAAAAATAGACAAATATTTTGGTAAGAATACCAAAACGTAACAGTTTCGTACATGCTAAAATTAAGAAGCTTGTCATCCATGAATCTATCTATACAGAAGGGTCCATATAAAAGAAGTCGACGATCCAATACAAACGAAGTAGAGAAACTCCCTCATACACACAGAAACATAAAAAAAAAAAAAAAAGATACACAACAGACCCAGTCTATTGGGCCCAATAAAACTAGGGCCTATAGCGTAAGAGACGTAAGCCTTGATAACAATTTTTATTGTCAAGTAGAGGAGCCACAATGGCTTCACCACCCTCTGGGAGGCCCACCTGAGGACTGCCCGCTCAGTCTGTCAAGGAGGGCGTTAAAGTCTATAGCTTGACCACTCTCCTCCATCCGCTGAATCACCGCCATCACGTGGTCTCCTCTGAAACCCATGCTCACTAGCTTCTCTATCAGTTCACCGTATTTTGATCTTAACACAGGAGGTGGTGTCCCACTGTTTCCACCACCTGCCTGGTGCTGCTGAGGAGCGTACCCACCACCACCTTGTGGACCTTGCATGTAATGGGCTTGCTGCTGGTGATGTGGCTGAGGTGGTGGATATTGCATCCTCCCACCTTCATACATGGTATTGGCATACCCAGGAGGAGGAGGCCCTGAAGGTAGATACCCATCGCCTGTCTGGGGGTTATAAGACATCTTTGTCTGCTGTGGAGCCTGTGGTGGTGGTGGTGGTGCACCGTAACCGTAAGCTTGCATGGATTGTTGAGGAGGTCCCGCGTATGGTGACTGCATCTGCATGCTGCTTGGCAACGGTTCTACTGGAGACTGGTTGCTTGGTGGCGCAAGCGAGTATGTTGGGTAGGCTCCACTGGACTGTGGCCTGCCCTGTGGCTGCGGAGGCCAGTTTTGCTGGTACTGTGGGAATGACTGAGTCTGAGCTGAGCTTGGGTGAGATGGAGCAGGAGGTTGGGGCATGAACTGAGCCGGCGCTGGTGGTGCCTGAGGTTGAGAAGGAGGAGCTGGTGCAGGTGTGTTGTGAAGCTGTGTAGTAGGAGGCATGTAATACTGCTGCTGCTGTTGCTGTGGATGCACTGGTGGCTGCGGAGCTATTTGGTGAGGCAAAGCAAGTGCAAGCTGGTTGTTGTGTGCATCTGAGGTATTCTCGCTCTTCTTAGGCTCTGGAACCGGAGTCGCAACCCGCTCCTCACCATGTGACGAGGAAGATGAATCTTTCGGCACAAGTTGAAGCCTCGCTAGCTCCTTCTGAGTATCCGCAAGCTCCTGTTTATCTCTAAGAATCTGCACCGACCTATGCACCTACATCAAAAAACATACACATGGTCTTAAACTCCACTGCTCATTCCAATTTTTTAACAAAATCACATATAAACACAAACCTCTTGGAGATGTTTATCAATAGACCTAAGCTTAACATCAGCCTCCTCGTTATCACGACTCAAATCCGATCTCATCTCACCAATAGTCTTATCAAGATTGTAACAATACAGTTCAAGCTGAGACAAGCGAGAGCTGATGCCTTCAAGAAAGCGCATCATGTTGTCAGAGTACTTCTTCATAGTCCTCTCAACAGTTGCATTAATCTCTTGGCTCAAAGAGTCTTCAGGTGGACTGTAAGAGCTTGTAGGGAACACCGAAGACCTCGCCATCCTCGTCTTGTGAAACTCCTACAGAGTCCAAAACGTAAAACAAAAAGCAAGCTCAGTTTCATATGATCAAGTAAATGATATTTTAACTGCTTAACAGTTTCAGTTTCATATGATCAAGTGGATGATATTCTCTTTCTATTTAACCGCTTAACAATATAATCGGTCTAAGTTCAAACAATAATCTCATTTATTTAATTATAAAATTTCAAAATCGAAACCCTAGAATAAACGACAATCAAGCAAAGCTCAGGGTAGAATTAACCTTATTGGAGTTGGTGGAAGCGATCGCATGATCGGAGTTGGAACCGTTAGATTCGTCCTGGTTGGTGAAGTCGTCGTAAGAGCAGAGGATATCATCGGACCCGAAATCGAAGCCTTTCGATCCCGAGTTGACCCGATCCGACGCCATCGATCAGAACACTGGAAATCGATTTTGTGATTGGAGACAATAAAAAAGGGAAAACGCTTGGATTAGCTTTGGGAGTAAAGCGAAGCCGTGTGTTCTCGTTTTCTTCGAACCTTCGAGACGACGGAAGCAGAAAGCAGCAGGAGGAAAACGTTTTTCTATATTTTCTTTCAATGAAGGTTTTAATTAATTTCTGATAAGGATGAAGAGAGAAGGAAACAGCCAAACCGACCTTTTTTCTTTTCTTATTATTTCTGTATTCATATTTTATTATCTACATCCCGTATATATTGATTACTTTTGTTTTGGCCCCGCTTGTTTGTGTTTGTCAAATTAATAACCTTCGAGAGAGGTTGATTTTGAGGTTGAGTTTGTAACACGTTGGGGGAGGGAAACTCCGACACCGAGAGGTAACGTGTAACAAAGTTTTGTTCCTTTTTGGGAAGGTTTGATGTATAGAGGAAAGAGTGTATCGTGTTTGATTGTTGTGTATATTGGTATCTCTGGTCATAAAAACTGTAAGTGAGTGCTCTATGATCAGTATTGTCTATGTGAAGGAAAACAGCTCCTCGACATTGTTACTGTTCTTCCTTGAGGTATTCCTAAAGATGCTTCTCTAATTAATCTGCAACCAACCATGTCTACTGGTCTAGTGTACTCCAAGTAAATTGTTGGACATGGTGGAGATTTGATTTGGTCTTTTGTAGTCTAACCATCTTATTGCTCTTTACTGCTGGTGGTTCTCATATATATATATCTTTGAGTACTATTCAGAAATCTGAAACTTGTTTGGAGTTATTAGTATTAAACCCCTTCTCGAGATTAACATGTTGTGTTATTGTCTATTGACAAGGACTCCAACATATAACAACACACTGGCTTGCTTCGGATGCTTCTCTTCAACTCTTTGTAATAACATAATCCTGTCAAACTTATGAGCAGACATTCCACAATCGCCTTGGGTGGTAAAATGATTTACATTCTTGATTTTCGATATGATCAGTGATTCACATTAAGATACGGATGTGGATGATGACCTAATAAGTTTTGGCCGGTGAAAAGTAAAGATATGTGGACTAGCTAGACACGATTATGACTTTGTCAATATCATATTGCGTAAAGGATAAAGCCCTTCAAAAAAGTGATTTAATTATGTTAAACCCCACCAAAGAAACTAGCCGCAAAGTTTCTGCTTTGATCTGTATCCATACATCCTAATTAAAAAGCTTCAATAATAAAACATTAATTAACTAGATGCTATATGTCACCATAAGATGCTTTAGTTGTATGAATATATCTCTTTGACCATGTTTAGTAAATTATTCTAAGCAACTAGGAATACTTTGTTCACAAAATAAAAGTGATCGATCTAATTTGAGTAAAAATTTCACGAGGTTATAATGTCTTTATCAAAGAATAAATGTAGCACAATTAAATTTGACGTAGAGAAATCTCACCAGAAACCCATATAGATTTGGTTCTGTTGAGCTCTTCTTTGCCACAAGTCAGTTTTGCATCCACTTGTTCAAAGGCCATGGTCTCCCCGCCATTAGACCTTATCTTATGACATTTATCCACACATAAAAACCTTATCTTATCAGCATCAAAGAAGAGTATAATCAGTGTAATAAAGAAGCTGACATCTTATTACATTCTGAAAAAACACCAACTCAACAATGGCAGCAATGTTCTGGACACGTGGGAGGCTTAACAACCAATGATGGACCCATGTTCATTTAAAAGATCAACCAATCATGCACCTCTTTCTGTGGTTCAAACTTCGAGGTCTGAAGTCCATTTCTTTTTGGGTGTTCTCTTTTGACTATAGTAACCCTCTTAAAACTCTTCTAGAAGATAATCAATTTACAAAAACACGAGAATACCCACCTCTACCAAACCAAATCATCTTTAACTGTGTCTGACACACAAGTTTAACATGCCTAAGGCATTTTCAAGAAGGGGGCAAAACGGGAATATAATAGATAAATGGTCAACAAGCATAGTTTAACTTTTCCCGTTGCGTATATATACCATCCATTATCGGAAGTTAACACGTTCTCTTCATCTCCCTACGGTTACAGATTTATTTAAGTTTATCAAAGGAGAGTAGAAGAGAACGAACTTGACGCGTGAGAAATGAAGAGATCTGGAATTCTTGCAGCCTCCATATCTGCCGTCGCTTCCGCCACCGCCATCTCCGCCTCGTCCACCAACACCTCCGTATCATTCTCTTTGCCGGAAACTAATCTTTCACGTCAAGTAAATAAAATCTTTTTTTTTTCTGTGTTTATCCTCAGCGTTAAGTACCTCTGTTTTCTGCTTGTTTTCAAGTACTCACACTGTCGAGCTTTTTGCTGAATATAAAAAAACTTACCATAAATAGATTGTGTTTCGTTCGGATGTGTAAAGGTAACTAATTAAAACTATAATTTTCTTGGTGGTTTTGATTAGGATTCAAAAGAAAAACAGAGGAAGAAGAAAGGTTCTGAAGATGAAGGAGATGAAAAGTTTGCTCCACGGTTTGATGGGTTAAGATTCATCGAGACGCTTGTTACTGCTCATCGATAACCTTTTGCATTATTCTCATTTTGGCAAAAGTTTGGTATAGTATCTCCAATTGATCAAAACAACAACAAAAATACTGATTTTAATGTTTCGTTTTTTTTCATCCCACTATAGTTACTTTGGGTAAATGTGTTACACCCTGGAAAACTTTATATACCACCAAGAGGCATGTTCGCCAGGCCCGGTCCGGGGCATAGGCCAAAGAACCGGCCGCCTAGAACATCCTGATTTTATACAACAATTTTATAAGTATATAGGGTACTATAAAAAAAATATATAAAGAATAAGGGCATAAATTTGTAGTTTAGAATAGGGCATTACAAATTTTTTTGTTCCTATTTGTTTTCTTGCTAATCATGCCTTTTTATATGTAAGGCCTTGAACAGTCCATTAATTAGTTACCAAAATGTATGACATCCTAGTTTCATGCTGCGAAATCATATGGGTTTAAACCCGTATAATGACAAAAAAAAAATTGCCAAAAACAACAAATAGTAAATAGTTCACGAGAGCCTAAACTTTTTTTGGTTCAACTCACGAGAGCCTAAACAAAATAGATAATTTAGATCTAAGGATTTACAGGAACGAATTAATGGGTCACTCAACAACTAATTAAAGAGGGAATCATCATATCATATATAAATATATCTCATGTCATATCGTAACATATGTCTTTAAAAGAAGTAAAGAAAGAGAGCGGTGATAAGCAATGCATGTGTGGAGGAGACAAGAGGGAGTGATGCATGAGCAGATGAGGTAGCGGTGACGTTGGTGCAGTCAAGCCCTTCTTTACCTTCTTTACACATGTTTGCGAATATTCCAGGAGGATAACGACCATAGATATTGATGTAGCTGAACATTGTAGAGGCACAGTCTGCCTTTTCATCGTTAAGAGCTTCCGCGAATGGGCAAGCAAAGTCCTTGAAGGCCGAGCAACATGCCTTGGCTGGATAATTTGGTCCTTTGCATTTACTCGTTATAATTGTGTAATTCTTGCTCGCAAAGTCTTCTTTGCATGCTGTAGTTGTATTAGATCATTAACTAAAACATCGAACCTATGCTTATTAAGCTAATCACAACTGGATCATGCATGAGTTATTACGATCAATGATATATTTTCTTACGTGTCTTTGCCTGAAGAAGAGCTCGGCTTGTGGCTGGATGTGACTCAAATTCATCAACTGCACATATATATATTCCATTAAAAAAAGAACTATAAACAAGTTTTATAGATGTTCCAAAAAAAAAAAAACAAGTTTTATAGACACGAAAAAAGTATCAAATGACTATAAATTACGAGAGATGTGGAGAGACGAGGCGAGTCCAGACAAAAGAAGGGTTAGAAGAAGAGAAACCAAACAATGAGGAGAAATCTCCATGCTTATGTTTCTTCCTTCTTAGTATTCGTCTTTATCACATTTTTGATTTTCTAAACTTTTTTGTTGTTGTTAATTTTGTGTTTTTGAGTTATAGGAGGGGAGAAAAATGCTGCGGATGTACCGGATAATTACGTAGAATAAACGATATAATCAGTGATATGCCAAAAAAAAAAGCACTTTACTATTTTAATCCTTGGAGAATAACCATCAAATTAACCACAAAAATTATGGAGAAAAGAAAACGAATATATTATTTTTGATTCGGCTACCACTAGTTGATGCCCATAAATTAATTGGGAAATGCACATTTCTTGACTCAGTTCCCCGAATCGTTAAATGCAACTTGCCCCAATTATTTGACATGAGACTTTGAAAACATTATCTCAAACACAGTACATATATAATAGTATATCTACGTCTAAAACTTAAAACAATACTAACTATATACAAGTTACAATTGTATTCGTATTCCAGTCCTTTTGTTATTATTGTTTCACTAATGAACTATATGAGAAATCATGTCAGGGATGCACAGGTATAAGGCTCCGTAGTCCGTAGGGTGATCAGATACGTTTTAGGTTCTCTTAACAATGTTTTTATCATATAGTTGATCTTTAAACAATAATAAAAGGCATTTTCTTAACCTGATGCATGAACCCGGACTGTATTTTCTCAACCGGTTCGTCACTTATCACTTACTCAGTGATATTACTAAACGCATCTGCCTCTTATATAAGAACACACACGCTGAAGTTTTTTAAACACTCAAGAGAATTTTCTAGTTTATTTTTCCAGTCATGAGCTATGGCTACGTTTATTATCAACTATCGGATTGGATATACATGAAAATAAAATGTCAGTGTTAGATTTGATGGCAGATTCTGACGAGACATGGCGGATTCTGACGAGACCATGAAAGAATCTTCTAAAACCATGTTTTCGTCACTAGACAGAAACACAGTAATGGTGACGGTACAACGAGTACTAGGGGTGGGCACTTTATCCGATACCCGAACTCGTACCCGAACCCGATCCGAAATATCCGAACCGAAATCCGAACCGAAGTAGCAAAATACCCGAACGGGTATTGAGTTAGGAGAGTTTGGATATCCGAACCCGAATGGGTATTACCCGAAACCGAACGGGTATCCGAAGATAACCGAACATATGTATATATACCTATTTATTCCTAGTTTATTTATCTCATTTCATTAAAAATATTTATATTAATGTTATATATAATTTAAGATCAGATAATATACATATAAATGTAAAAAAATAATAATTTGTTACTCATTTAAAATGCATATTAAGCTTCTTATTTCCTATTTTAAACAAAATTTGCATCCAAAATTCAAAAATAACAACCAAAATAATGAATTTTATTTTCAATAATTTATTTTCAAAATTATTAATCGTCTAACTTATTAAACATTTTAAAAACAATTAAGTTAATAGTTAAATTTTAAATACATGAAACTTAAGTAATAAAGAATTTGAAATTTTCTTTCAAAATCAAAATATCCGAACCCGACCCGAAATAACCGAACCCGAACTAAAAATATCCGAACCCGACCCGATATGTAAAAATACCCGAACGGGTTCTATACCCCAATACCAAAATACCCGAAAACCCGAAATACCCTACCCGAACCCGAACGGGTACCCGAACGCCCACCCCTAAGTCGAGTACCAATTTTTAGGCAGTGTTTTATCATTTCAAGGAGTGAAGTTCGGGTTGCCTACTGACAATTAATAACATGAAATTAAATATGGTGTGGTACCAGTGGCTGTTTCCCGTGACATACTACCTAATTAATTTTTGTGGCTTAAACTATATGACTATTGGTTGATAAAGCTTTTAATTGAAGCTTCAATAAGAACCATTCCCTGAATGAATTTAATGAAGAAACTTACTAAATAAACATTGTTCACTCACCACCGTTTTTTCTTTCAAGTCACTACTCAACACATAATAATTACAAATTCTGAAAGAAAACAAATTAGTAAAGTACCAAATAAGCAGAAGTCTTCAAATAATTTATTGAAACTGAAAAAACAAGAGAAAAAACAATTCCTAGGACTTTTTATTTATTTTTTTCCGAGGACAATATGGCGTAACGGTGCAGCCATGGAGTCCCACGTCATTAAACTTGGGGGAATATCTATGGTGTTGCCAGAAACAGAAGCTGCCAATTTCTTATCTTATGATAATTGATATGGATAAATCGATAAAGCTATGGGATTTTTTTGGCAATTTATATTGTTTTGTGTCGTTTTTTTATAGGGTTAGTAGCTGAATAATAATAGTTCTAAAGATATTATCAAGTTATTGAATATTAACAATGCATAAACTTGTTTATAGATTGTTTTTTTTTTTTTGTAAAAAACCCAAAATAAATTTTAAAAGGCTCAGATGTTTTTATAGTTTTATCTTGTTTACTTTTTCTTTCTTAAGCGATGCTGTCCGTTGCTGACCTTTTCATAAATTAAAGAAAGAAGCTTACGGAAGTTAAACAAGTGAAGGGAAAGAGCTCAAAAAAGAAGAATGGCGTTTCGTTACTTTATCTACTTATTTTTAATTAGGTAGACGTTTCTTCTTTAAAATCATAACTTTTGCGGATTTTAATTTTGCACCTTACATGATAAAAATAAAAATAAAAATAAAAATAGTATGTGTGTGTATGATATAAGCTCTCGTGCTTCTGCACCACCCTCTATCTATTATTCTTCTTGCCCATTCTGCTCTCTTTAATTCCAAATAACTCTCATCTCTCTCTCTCTCTCTTTCTCTAAACGAACTCATCTCTAGTCTTCAAGCCATTGTCACACAAAGCAATCAAACTCTCTGAAGGTTTCCAAAGGCTTCATTAGCACCCAAGTCAGGAGAGATCCATCGGTACTTAGCAAATTCTTCAAAGAGTACGTCTCTTATCGACTCTGGTATCATCACTATTTACTATATGTATATGTGTTGTTGCGTTTGTATGTGAATATATAAAGGCATCTTATCAATAGATCTGCACCGTTTTTTAGTTACCACGCACGAGAATGATATAATATGCAAGTTTTAGATCATCTGAGTGAACTACTTTGTGATGTGATTTGATTAGTTCACATTTATCATCACTTATTCGCTTAATTAGCTACTCTGTTTCTTTAGTTATTTGGACTCCTTCTTATTAATATGGTATTATATGAATGATAACGTGTGCTTGAGATTAAGTGAAAACAGAGCAAGGCATGAATAACCAAAGTGATTATGTCAAGTCTTCATAACTCCAATGATCGTTACTTTTCGTTTAATTATTATTATCTTCCTTTTCTATCAAAGTTTCGTATATTAGGTCTTGTTGAGAATCATTCCTTTCACACGTTTTATATTTTTAACTTTTTTTTTCCTTCAAGCAATATCATGATTGTTGTATATACGAATGTGTTAAGTTTGTAATGATCTATCGATCTTTCATATCTTTAGTATATACTATTTAGGTGAAATCTCATTTAGTAACACAACGACTTGTCAAGTTAACGGGTTTGTCTTATACGTCTCAGCAACATGGAGATAGAGAACGAAGAAGGCAACTCAGCAGAATTGAGTGACTCTGGAGGAGACTTCGACTGCAACATATGTTTGGATCAAGTACGTGACCCGGTCGTGACTTTATGTGGCCACTTGTTTTGTTGGCCCTGCATATACAAATGGACTTATTCCACCAACAATACAAGAAGACGCGTTGATCAGTACGATAAGAAGGAATCCCCAAAATGCCCGGTCTGCAAATCGGATATCTCAGAAGCTACGCTTGTCCCTATCTACGGCCGCGGACATAAAGTAACCCAGTCCGGTTTAAACGTACCGAACAGACCATCCGGTCCTGTTTATTACTCAAGAGAAGTTGGTCAACGTTTAGAAGAAAGTGAGAGTCAACGGTACATGTATAGAATGCCTGATCCAGTTATGGGTGTGGTATGCGAAATGGTATACCGGAGACTATTTGGAGAGTCTTCCAGCAACGTGACACCGTACCGTAACGACCGTGACACAAGTCTACGTTCAAGGCGACGGGAAATGCAAGCGGATGAGTCGCTAAGCAGAGTCTACTTGTTCCTGCTCTGCTTTATGGTTATGTGTCTACTTCTCTTTTAAGTTCTAACTATAATGTTATCTCAAATATAAATAAGTATGCATATATATATATAGATATTCATATAAATGGATCTAACGAAGATTGTATATATGTGTATGTGTGTAAGAGTGTTGAGTCTTCAAACCGCATGGTGAGAAACATAATAAAGTCAAAATCAAGAAACGGCACCAATTGGCTATTGTATATTTTTGATCTAATTAACATATGTGATAATGGTTGATATAAAGGAGGCTTATCTTCAACTCAATCGATCTTATGCACCAACAAAAAGATGATAGTGGCACTCGAATGCGACGCAAACGGTGTTGCTTGTCGGATAACGATCTTTTATCATTAGATGACACGTGGGGCCTACCGCCTACATTTGATTGATAACTGTGAACAAGACAGTGTTGGATAGAAAAAGTTGAAACATTAAGTTAATACATTAATGTTTTTGGTACGGGTCTTTTCCAATACATTGAAGATGTTTGTAAATAAAATTGTAAAGTGATTGAACTGGAGTGAGCTGTTTCATTGAAACCATAGGGCAGTCTAAGATGAGAGTTATGGCCATGGGTCCGTGTGAGACAAGCCCCTCATTTATGGGATCCCTTTTCTTAGCTTCAAAAGTTGTACTAGTTTATTTGACTTTATCGGTATATGTTTATAGAAAGTTTGATAGGTGAAGAGTGTTTTTGATTGTGGTATCTATACACTTTCATCAACATAGATCACAAATGGTACAGACAGAACTGTAAATGCGAGACCAATGCCTTATTAACACAAACAATATCTAAGAGTGTTATTTGCTTGTTTCCTACATTACAGCTCCACTCGCTAGAAACGAACCAGTTTCATGCTCTTCACTCTTTCCTCCTGCATTCCCACTTTCCATTTTCCAACCAAAGACAATCAAAATGTATATGTTATGTAATAATATCCAAACAAATAGGAGCTAACCAACCGTGGAGCTGGGAATTAGGCTGCGATTTGGGCTGAAATACGTTTTTGGGCCCCAAAAGAATAGCCCAAGTAATCTTGTAACAAGAAAACTCTCGCTCTTTGTAACTTTGCAAGCCCAAAGAAACATTCGTAAGATGAAAATATACGTCAGTTGTGGTTTCCTGATATTGGTCAATCTGCAAGCGATCCCAAATATTTATAAATTCGGCGACAGAGCATGCACTTATGTTTTATAGAATCGGTCTGTATACACGTTTTGGACATATATTATCTCTGTATATAAGGCAACGCCTACATAACTTTGTGAGATAAAAAAACATCTTTTATAACTGGTGAGAGTTCTTGACAGTTGTTTCTGCATAGCGAGTTATATTTACCTCTTCAACCAATGTTTGGAACGATGTTCGACAACAATTAGTTATAAATTTAAAAGTCAAAAGTAATAATTGTTTATGGGAACTTGTATAAAGCCAAACCCGGAGATGTGTAAGTGTAAATGGGAAGAAGGGTGGTGACTATTGACTAGTGAGAGTTTGGTTGGCGGTAAGAAGAATTATCTCATTCTAACTATGAAACTGTACAAGATTCGAATGCTTTTAATTAAACTAAAAAATTATTCAATTCTAGCACGTGAATGAATCAGTTATCATACACTTTTTGACTTATTGCACACTCTTTCACACACTCTATGATCGTCCACCTAACATTAATCCGAAACCACGAACACGGGACATTAACAAGGTGCAAACTGTCGAAACGTTTGTTATACCAATGATTGAGCTTTTTTATATAAAAATACGATGGATGCAGTGAAATCTTGAAGTGAAAACTTTGCAAGCATCATCTGAGTATACACACCAAACAAATCAGCCATGTCTATTCGTACATATATTTTTGGCACTAACGCTTTAAATACCACCATGCAATATAATCATATTTAAACAAAACATACCGTAATCAACGCTTGGAATATCTCCCTTTATACATTTTTTCTCAAAACTTTAAGAAAGTAACGTCACATAACGTAGGGTAGTATAATACAAAGTAGAAATTTGGTCATGTGATTTGTTTATAAAATAAAACAAATCGTGGATCCACCTTTTAATAAGATTTGGGACCGAGTGACCAACAAATAGTTATTATCTATTGCCCCACCATCGTCAATAATAACAAAACAACGAACTGATGACATTAGTGAGGTAGAGGTAGTTGTTCGTTATAGCATACAATTTAGCGTGAAAACCGTTACCTCTATTATTATAGTATATATTCACAATGCAATGATTCATGCGTTGTGCGCACGAGATTGGCCACAAAGTTTTGCTTTGCGTAAATTTTATAATATATTCATCCCTCCATTCAAGTACACTCAAATCATTCATAGACTATGTACACAAACAGTAGTAGGTTTTGTATATAACTAACTTAAATATCAACATATATGTAATTAAACATAAAATCTAAGAACATAACACGTGAAAAATAAATAGGAAGCAAACAAATCAGAAGATAAGAGATTGGGCAAGAGCAAGTCAGTGTCTTAACGGATTCCTCTTCTCCTCCATAGAATGAATCTGCGAGAGATTTCAACGGTCCAAAATCTTAAACGTACCAAAACACCCCTATAGGTCCCATGACAATTTCACACTGGATCATGCGAAATCGACGCCTTAACTGTCGGTAGGTCTTATCAGAGTGGCATAACCGTAAATAATAGCAACGGCAAAGGACTAAACCGGCAAATACTTTAAACAAAAAGAGAAACCACTGAAAAGCAGTTTGGTTCATTTTCTCTATATAACAACAACAACACTGACATATCACTTCCACAACTCACTCACTTTCTCTCTCTCACTCACTGTCGGTAAAACATACTTCTTGGGGCAAAATGCAGCTCTCTTCGGCCATCACCTTAGCCACGCTCTGCATTGTTCTGCAGCTTCTCAATAACTCTCTAGCTTCAGTGACGACCAATCGCCACGTGTCAAGCTCTCATTGGCTTCCTGCAGTTGCCACATGGTACGGAAGCGCCAACGGTGACGGAAGCGATGGTAATTACACCACACTTCACACTCTAGCTAGTCCTAGAAATGTATAATTTTGTTTTTATCTCATTAATAAAAATGCAGGAGGAGCGTGTGGGTACGGTACCTTGGTGGACGTGAAGCCGTTACATGCTAGAGTTGGAGCGGTGAATCCTATCCTCTTCAAAAACGGTGAAGGCTGCGGAGCTTGTTACAAGGTTCGATGCTTGGACAGGAGTATATGTTCCCGGAGAGCCGTCACCGTCATCATAACCGACGAGTGTCCCGGCTGTTCTAAGACCAACACTCACTTTGATCTCAGTGGCGCTGCCTTTGGTCGTTTGGCTGTATCTGGAGAATCTGGTCCCCTCCGTAACCGTGGTCTCATCCCCGTGATTTACCGCCGGTAACACGTTTACTTTATTCTTCTCTTTAAAGTCATTTATTTAGTAATAATAAATGTGTATTCTCTTCAATAACTAACTCGTGACAGTGCACGAGCGAATTAAAATATAGGAATTTATTTAGTTAGATTTTATTGCAATTGGTGAGCTCTAGCGGTGAGATCTCGTTTTTAATGGTCCCTGACATTTTTTGACCGTTGACTCATTTTTTTCTCACTGCACTTTATCTTTGTGTTGCATAATATTAAAAAGGACGGCATGCAAGTATAGAGGGAAGAACATAGCGTTTCATGTGAACGAAGGATCAACTGATTTTTGGTTGTCTCTGCTGGTTGAGTTTGAAGATGGAGAAGGCGACATTGGCTCCATGCATATTCGCCAAGTACTTTCTTTTTCTTTATAACCGAACTCTCTTTACATTTCTTTTCACTTTTTTCTTACCACAAAGTCACTTCCACTTCAAAGTATACTTTTCTTTTTGTATAATACTAAAAGAAGAAAAGTCTTAGTGGAGTGAGCACACTCATGGTTCTTTATTGACCAACTAGAAAGGCACACCAGTAAAGTCTGCTAAAGTCTACTAAAGTAACAATAAAACAGACTCAAAAAGTGTAAAGATGGGTTTCATTTGTTAAATGTTGCAGGCCGGAGCGAGTGATTGGTTAGAGATGAAGCACGTATGGGGAGCCAACTGGTGCATCGTTGGAGGGCCACTCAAAGGACCATTCTCCATCAAACTCACCACTTTGTCAGCCGGTAAAACACTGTCAGCCACCGACGTGGTGCCCAGAAACTGGGCTCCTAAAGCAACATACACTTCCCGCCTTAACTTCTCCCCCGTCCTCTAAAAGTCTGACTCATATTTATATTACTATATGTGTGATTTTTATTTATTTTGAGGAGAAGAATAGAGCGTGATTGCTGGCTGTAGGATGGCAATTGTAATAGAGTCCATCTGAATCCAATAAGGGTCTTGCGTTCTCTCCTCTTCCCACTTGTGTTATAGATCTCTGTGTGTTTTGTGTGTGTGTCGGTGAGTGAGTAGGAGCCACTGTAGCCATCTCCAAAGGGGAGATAGAGCTAGGAGTTGTATTTGGTGGTGTAATTGTTTCTTTTCCAAGCCAATTCTTGTCATTTTCTCCTTTTATGGTGGGACAATGTATGCTACTATATATCATATGAATATTTGTCACTTTCTCTTTCTATTGTGGGACATTATTACACAATGCATCATATAACTTCAGTATATTGAAAAATTCTTAAAAACAAACCACTGTTGATCTATTGAGCCCATTAGGCTTTCTATTTATGGTCTAATACTTATAAGCCACCTGTGAAGGAGAACGGTTGTTCAAACGTCCCAAGTTATGTATTGGGCCTGACCTAAGTGTGCTCATGGACTAGTCATGAAACATCGAGACAGTCGATACATGTAGCATGTTAATAACAGTCACGGACTCATGGCGATTGGTCATTATAGTATGTCTGACTCAAATTCGAAACATACAGATCCAAAAAGTAGCATTAGCTATAGTAAAAGGCAATAAGATAGCTTAAAACATGATATAGAAGAAGCAGACATGACAACGCATTCATTTACTCAGCGGATCAATATGATGAAACCTCAAAGCCTATCATATAATACATTCGCTTTCTGCGATATTCTTATCAGTATAACAAAATAAAAACTGATTGGTTAGGTTAGGTTAGGTTAGGTTAGAATTAATGACGAGAGCACTTGAGCAATACGGGAAGCAAAGGGACAAGAAGCATTCAAGGGAGGTAATACCACGTGAAGGGGCTCGTGGAAACCGAATAGCCACCTTCCACGTCACAAAACCACTCGTGGGCTCTAGTCTATTTTGTTTTGGGCTTCCTATAAAACAAGAGACAGATTAAACAATTTAAATTGAATTAAATAATGAAAACAGCGGCCACGAAAGATACAATGGGTGTGGGTCCCAACATAAGGAGTCCCATAATTGAAAGAAAGAAGAGGTGACTCATCTTGAGGACAGGCCGCCACTTGTTTCCTCCTATACCTGGATCCCACTCATCCATGTGCATGGTATCGCTTATTATAGATCTTTCCGAAGTTACCATTTTACCCTCAGCCAATATTCCTCTGCTTTAAGTACCCACCCTTTCCTCTCTTTGATCTTCCGACAAAGTCTGTTAATCTCCATTCAGTTTACACAAGAGCTTCTCAGATCTAGATAAGGAATTTTATTCACTAAAAGATATGTGTTATCTAAACAAGGTTTTCACTGCAGCATCGTTCGTGGCTGCTCAAGGAAACCCCGAGCACGGCGTCAAGTTGAAAACTGGCCTCAGCTCCGCACAACGCCTTCAACGCCGGCTTTCCTCCGATGTCCGCCCTCTCTCCGCCTCAGATGTCCCCGTAGATGGTGCGCGTGTAGAAGAAAAACAGCTTACCTCTTCTTCCACTCCCGATGAATCCCTCCGTCAGGTCATGTACCTCAACTGCTGGAGCCAAGGCTAATTCTAGTTCCACTCATTCCATCCACAGATGATGATGGTGGCTCGCTACTGAGTCCGGAGAAAGCGAGGTGGATCTTCTCATGATCACTGTATATAAGTCTGGTGTATTCTAGTCAAGACCATGTAAAAATATTAGAAATTCTCAAAAAGATCAAAAGCGAGCGTTTGTTTACAAGAACTCTGTTTATGTTTCATTTATCTGAATAACTTCTCTCTTCCTTTGATTTTAAAAAAAATAAAACTTCTCTCTTCCAAGTTCCTCATCAACGTTTTCTACAATCTTGATAGTGATTACCAGTAATGTGAATTCAATTAATAACTAATATAATAATCACAAAATATTCCAAACCATCATTATCCAATGGGACCAGAGACGAGTCTGTCACTCCATAAAGATAATAATTCTTCTTATGATTTGTCATTGTTAAGTTAGGTTTATCTACACGTCAAAAGAATAATTATGTATTTTCATTAATAAAAATCCACAACCATGCATTTTCATATTGGACTGAACCGAGTTTCTATCTTCATAGCCCCAAATTTTGTAAAAAGCTCAAATGTTTACGATTGGTCTAGATTGGGGCCAATATTGGGCCAAGGCCCATATTATACAGCGTAACTTCGCTTTTAATGAAACCGGAGCGTATCAGATCAATCCAACGGTCCAAAATCTGACGACGCTCCATCAATGGAGTAACGTCTCCTCTCCCAACGGTCAAATAATCCTCAAGAAATACTCCTCCCTCCTTCCTTCGTCTTCCTCATCATTCAAAATCCAGATCGAATTCTCCGAAAAAATGACTTCAACCGAGCACACAGAGACGCTCAACGCTCCAGAACTTCAGATCTGGAACAACGCAGCTTTCGACGACGGAGACTCCAACCTCACATCCGCCATCGAAGCTTCTTCTTGGTCTAACAACCTCAACTCGTCATTCGATTCCGATTGCAGCAAGGAGAATCAGATCCCTCTCTCCGTCTCCTCTTCGCTCAAATCCTCAGTCTCCTTCTCCACCACCGATGATCCGATTCGTAAAGTTAAAGAAAAGCCGCACAAGACTGTCAAGGCTAAAAACGTTGATAATATCGATGCAGAGATCGAAGAAGTTGAGAAGGAGATAAACCGGTTATCGACGAAATTGGAATCGCTCCGGTTAGAGAAAGCCGAGCAGATCGCGAGAAGTATCGCGATACGGGGAAGAATCGTCCCGGCGAAGTTTATGGAGTCTCAGAAACAGACGGTTAAGTTCGATACAGCAGGATCGAAATCAAGAGCCACGCCACGTAGAGGCGTTAGCTTGGGTCCAGGAGAGATCTACTCAGCTGCGAAGAAGTCGGAGACGACGGTGACTCCTCTTCAATCGGCTCAGAATCGACGCAAGTCTTGTTTCTTTAAGCTTCCTGGTATCGAGGAAGGGAAGGCAGCGACGAAACCTAAGATGACAGCAACGGCTCAGAAGAAAGCAGCGACGACGGGTGGGTTAAAGAGAGGGGTGAAGAAAGAAGAAAACGTTTTAGCATCGATTCAGCCGAAGAGGCTGTTTAAAGAAGAGGAGAAGAGGAAGGTTGTGAAGCCAGGGAGAGTTGTGGCTAGCAGGTACAGTTTGGTGAACAAGACGGGGGAGAGAGATGTGAGGAAACGTTCGTTGTCTGAGAATGAGGAGAAAGAGAATCAGAGGTTGGAGAAGAGGAGAGCTTCTGATGAGAATAGGAAGAGTGAGGGGAGAGTTAAGAAGAGATGGGAGATTCCTAGTGAAGTTGAGGTGTTTTGTAGTGGTGTGAGTGATGAGACTCCTTTAGGTAAAGAGTTGCCTAAGATCAGAACGCTTCGTGGTCGTGTGGGAGAGAGTCCTCGTGATTCAGGTGCTGCTAAGAGAGTTTCGGAGTTGGAGAGTAAGAATCGTGATTTCACGTTTTGTCAGCTTCTGAGGTTTGAAGAATGAATGATGGGGTAATCAATTTGAGTGAAAGAAACCACAACTCTTGTTGTGGTTATTTGATTGTGAATCTGGTTTGTTGCTTGCATCAGACTGTAGAGCAAGCGAGAATGTTTTGTGCATTTTTGTTGGTTATGCTTTAATGTCTACATACACATATTAGTGATTGTGAGTTTTGTTGTCTTACCTTTTGTAAAATATCAGCCTCATAAATAATGAATGATTCTCTTAAAAAGGTTTTTATTTCGTCAGTAATCACAAGGAGTACACAGAGAGACATAAACTTATCTTGGTTTTCCTATTGAAGCATTGTGCTAACTAAGCAGCTAAGCTAAGACTTTACTGGACAGCAACCTAAACAATCACAAACAAGGAGACCATCACCATTATGAATGATATCACCGGCCACGTCTTGTAAATTTTCTCCAGTCATGGACTCAAAGGTTGTGTCCGCACATGCAGCTCTGAATATATTTGCAGTATCTGAATATTACGATTCAGCAAGGATTTATGGAAACAGAATGAACATCAAGAGTCCCAAAGTGGGTTTACAGACCGTTATTTTGCGTTGAGCTATTGAAGACAAATAGGCGACTGCATACACATTATCATTTTAGTTTAGGCCATTGGAAAGACTTTAATTGGTTCAGGGATGACAATTTAAGGGAACCAGGACTAGGCAAATGTATATCGGGCGTAGGTGGTTTAATCTCCGGATATACAAGTCATTGCTTATCTGCGGATTGAACTCTGAAAATTCGATGCAATTTTAAAACCGGAAACATTTGTAATTCTACATTTGTTGTAGAAAATAATGCATTGTGAACATCAGAAATCAGCAGATGGATAACTGAACACAAATCTAGAATGGGAAGATACTGCTTGTTAAAGTTCTTGTGGCACAAGAAGCTTTGGCAGACGGCTAAATAAATTAATCAATAGTCCACAGACAGTTCCAGGCTAAATTAATTAATCAATAGTCCACACACATTTACCCTCAACAATAACAAGCTTTCCCCTCTTTTGCTAATTTGCAAATCGTCTAAATTAATTTGGGACAAGGCATCATCTATTTCCAACAGCTTCAAGAGAAGAACATAACTATTTATGATTCACGTTTGCCATATGATTCCGTTCACAATTCATCATTCAAACAAAACACGATCGGGACCAAAAGAAGCTAAAAGGTAGAAAACGCAACCATGTGATTTAGCGGATAATTTTAGAGGCAAAACTATATGAAAAGTATGCCTCCACGTTTATACACCGCGATTCTATCTATGCCTCGATGACTAGCATTTATTTTCGTTGAGTATTCTTGAAAACAAGCTAAAGGTGAGTGAGGCATTCAAACGAAAAACAAACACATGAATGATTTCATCCAGAAAAAAAAACTACAAAACAAAAGGCAACCAGAATCTATGAAAAGGATCTATGCAAACTGAAAGAGAAGCGGACAAGTGAATGATATTGTTGAAGAAGGTGACTACTTTCTGCTTATATAGGGTTTCCGTAAAACCCTAACAACAAAGTTGAACCTAAACGGACTTCTGAATTTATTATATTGGGCCAATAATATTTATTATGTAGCTATTGGGGCGTACTTAAGAGCCCATAAATATAGCAACCCTTCCTTTTTTTTGTATAAAACAGAAATTCTCTTCAAACTTCAAAGTACACCAACACAATAGTAGTTTTGTTAATCTATTTGTTTCACAAAATTCAGACAAGAAAATCAAACAATCATCCATGTCAAGTGCCTATTCCCAGCCCATTTTGCAGCAAGCCGGACTCCAATGGCTAATGCTGCCACCAACAATGGCACTGGTGGCACCTCCCCTAAGGTCTGTCTATCTTCTTCAGATGAGGTCTTAGTTGAATTGTGATACATGGCTAGAGCCAGATACCCTGTGATGACCACAACTCTCACCCAAGGCTCCCCAACTCCTGCCAGAACAGCTGCAGAAGGAAGCGCTGAAGTCACATCATCTCTCTTCTTTATCAACCGTGAATATCCATACAAACCCACCAACACAGTCCAGAAGAACGGCTCTGAGATGTAGCTATGCACAGCTGCATACCCCAAAAGACCAGCAAGAGTAATCACATACGACTGCTTGTTGATAGAGTTTGGCGCAACAGTTTCTCCTATTGCGAGCACCGATGATGCAAGAAGGATCACCGTGGTTAACTCTCTCACAGGTGTGTAAGCAACAATCCCGGAGTAGAACCCCCGGACGCTGTAGATTGCAGTCTCAACAAGAGCGATGAGAGAAGTGATGGGATCTCCTATAAAGTGGAAGACAAGGGCCAATGCGAACTTTGAAAGATCTCGAAATAATCTAACGATGGCGAAAGCTGCGTTTCTCCAGTTGGATAGTTCAAACAAGACTGCTCTCCACGCATACACAAGTAACGCTAAGGCTGCAACAGAAGACAAGACAACATGATGTTACTTCATATAACCAAAGATCATATGTTCCTCCCCTAATCCAACTACGCAACAAGGTATCTACTCAAGAAGCCTCAAACTACTAAACCACAAGGTCAAATGCTAAACCAGTTCACAATCTCTATGTCAGAAAAGCGACAGTAACTAAGAACAGACACAGTAACATCAGTATGTAAAAAGAAAATTAGTTAACCAGAAGTGAAAACGGTGTCGTACCAACGAACCATGGCCATCTAATAGTACTGTCGGGAGCTTCTTTGGTCAAGTATATGAATCTATCAGGCATCGTGCTCTCACGCCTCGCGAATGTCTTGGCTTCATCCTCTACCTCACCGTTTTGTGCATCTTCTTTCTCGCACCTCGTAAGTCTCACACTCGGAAACTTACCACGGAGGCTCACGCCGGCGTTACAAAACTGTGGTGGAGAGAGCGTAAGCTTATTAACACCATTAAGATGAGGAAAACGAGAGAGGTGAGAGAAACTGATAGCAGGAATGCGAGTATTGCGGCAGAAGGAAGAAGATGAAGAGAGAGCGTAGAACGTCATCGTCATCGTCTTTCTCCAGCTTTTCCAAGAGCACCCGAAATAGCTTTAGCAAAGTATTAGCACTGGGCCATTACCTAATTAGGCTTTATTCTCGGCCCATTTCAACAAAGCGCTGTTCATGTTGCTAGATGAAAAAGAAACAGACCATTTATAGTGGAGCCATTGAGTGATTGCATTAGAGAAGAGATTAGCGTAGAGTTTGGGAGTCCTCAAATTGCAAAAAGAGCTATTCAGGTAGTAAACCTCACCTTCACATATGTGTATGATTATAACTAGGGCCTGCCTATATAGTGGTTCAATGCTCAAATCTGTAAAGAAACTTGCAGCCATGGCCAGGGGCGAAGCCAGACCTATTTTTTCCTGGGTGCACAATTTATATAAGTTAAAATAACTAAAAAATATAGTGATATAATGGAACATCGAACTCTGGTTACCTTGCAAGACGTGGATGCACCTTTACCAAATAAGCTATTTCAGCCATATTGTACAATGTAAAAATGTAAAACGCAAAATAACAATGGGTGCACGTGCCCCCATACTCATCAAGCTGGTTTCGCCCCTGGCCATGGCTGTATTGCATTTGCACGTCCTTAAAATCGAATCTTAGTATGAACTTGAAGTCAAAGTATGGAGCCGCAGAGGATGGAACACTGGTTAATCTGTAGCTTACTCTACCTCTAACCCATTCTGTTCAGGCTTATTAGTAATAAATTACACTATCTGATGGGATTTACGTCTCAGTTTCCTTAATGCAGATTCTTGGCCCTTGCCGTCCCGGTCTTGCTCTAGATAAGATTGCCTAGAAATGGAGATCAGTCATAGTGATAAAGATAGTCTTAAAAATATCCGGAAGCTTAACGAGTTTGCTGTTACTAGTTACAGTCAAGACGTTGAGTTGTGAGAGGAATACTACTTCATGACTTTTGATTTTGCGTTCAATGTTTTTAATTAGAAACTAGGTTCACATATCCTAGTTATCTCGTGACGACTTGGGCCTTTGTGTTAAAAACATGTAACCCATACTTTTTGTTAGTTAGATGATGATTATAAAAGCATGCAGATTTAAATTCAACAGTGTTCTAAATAAAGGGCACAGGGCTTTTTTGGGCAATATGATGTAGGAGACGTCTCTATTCCCATATGTCCCATCTCCTAAAATCACAGACCGTAGTAGCTGGTGCCATTTTGACATCTTCGCCTCTCAAAGCTGTCAACAGCTAATTAAATATAAACAATTACTTTCTAAAAAATTAAAAACTTTATTTTTTTTCTTCCACCACTAGCCAAAAATCAAAGACATGCACTCACTCAGGCATGCTCGTCTGCATGTTCTTCTAGGAAATCAACTTTTTTTTTTTTTTGGTTTTAACTTTTCCAACTGCTCCATTCAACGACCCATAAGTAGATATAACAGTTCAGAAATTTAGAATTAAAAATATTAAATGCAACCAAGTCTCTCTCAAAGGCATTTTTCATTAGTAAAATGTTTTGGTTTTCTTCTTCAAGCTTTGACGTTGCTGGTGAAGTCGACGCAGGTCTGGCAAGAACAATCAGAGAAACGGCATAACTCGCAGCCAAAGCAGACGCAAGATGTGCAGCCTTTGCAAGTTGGTGACCGTGTGCAGCCTTTATACACTTTCCTGCTTCCTCTCTCTTCCTCTGCCTCACATGTTATCCTGCAAAGTGCAAACCAACCATTTATTACTTCATCTTTGTATCATAACAAACACGATGACCAATATATATAGCAAACCTACTTGTCGTATGGAAAGTCTGAGCATTTCCAGTTTGGATCAGCCATTGCGTTGTGGTGCAAGCGGCATTCGTCTCTGCTCCTCAACCGGAACCTCCTCTCCTTACCACATTCGATGCACCCAACAAACTCATCTCTGTGTAATACTTTGGTACCTTGTGATTTGTTTGATCTCTTCAACTTCTTTGATGATTCGTTGTAGTATTTGAGCAATACTGTCTTTGACAATGGAACCTTCTCGCCTCCAACGATAACCCACACATTGTTCTTCCATTTCCTAGCCGTTTCTCTGCCAGAATGCTTCTCGAATGCAGCTGGTGTTAACTTGTCTACAGTACATGCCAGATCAAATGTGCGTATTTAGAAAGATACTAGAGATCGTTATGGTACAAGCTACCTCAAGAACTTAATGGCAATGATGTTGCATCAAAGAGTATAAACGGACCATTAAATGAGGAATATCATATGTCAATAAAGCCTAGAACTTTAGCCACCCATCATCATTACGATACAAACAACCAAGACATGACAATGAAGCAAACGAAAGTCATTTTATTTTCTACAAGGATGGATCTAGCATTACACTAAGAGTCATTGACTTATTCAACTATATATATCCATAAGACATATGCTAAGTAGTCTCTTTGGTAAGACATACTTGTTAATTCAGATGTAATGACGCTAAAGACTCAAACTTTACTACCACAAAGTCATGTTAGTATAGGCAGAAAGACCAACAAGTAAAGCAAAGGAAGATGACACAACAAACAGTTGATAAATAAACCCTTGTTGTCTTAAATAGTAGAAGCCATCTCGAGAGTGAAAAGAAAAGAGAGAAAGAGAGGCATACACGTTAAATCTCACACACATTCACATGTAACATGCACATAAATCAAAACCCCATTTTGCAAAAAAAGCCAAAAAGGAGAGACCTTCGTCACAGCCAGGTGTACATTCACAGCTGATTTCGAGATCGCCGTTTGGGAAAACCCTAAGTCTAGCAACGGCATCGCCGTAACGGTGGCTAGTACAACCACACATGACCTCAACGTAACCACCACCAACAATGACCCCACTCATCTCTTGTAGCTCCTCTTCCTCGAACAACCTAGACCCACATTGTATCTCCTCCTCCTCCACACTCGACGACATCTTCTCTCTCGGAATCTTCTCCGGTTTATAGCGTATGAGAGAAAGGAGAGATAGTAGAGAGAAATGAGAAGAAGAAGGAAAGGCCTCGTTTTGGGGTATAAAAGGAAAGCCCTAAAGGAGCACGCATCTCAAAAGCGTGAGAGATAGAAAGAGAGAGAGAGAGAGAGATCTGATAAATCAAAGCAAAAGCTTATTAAGGGGCTTTTCGGGAGAAGAGAGAGATAAAAATTAAGTAGAAAGATAGTCTCTTTGGCCTTTGGATTTTTGGTGTTACAAAGAAAGATGTGTGCTTTTATTTTTGGCGGATGCGATATTAGCTGGCCAACAAAACAAGACTCGTGGGGGCATGGGGTCCTGTTACAAACTATACTATTATTATAATAATAATAGCATCAGTGTACATATATATATAGCCTACATAACGCTGTAGGTGTAGAGAATGTCTATGGTTGATAAGAGCTGAACAGAGGCGGTGCGTGAGAAAGCTTCTTGACAAGACACACGAGAGAGGAGGGGAAGAAATTTGAGAATAGGGTTGTGTCAAATGTTTCAGGTCCTCTTTTTGATTTTATATTTTTTTTTGCTTTGTACTTCTTTCTTTTCTTTTCTCTTCAAGGTTCTGCAAATTCTTGGGTTCTTTGCCTTTCTTCAGGATTCATCGGTTACCGAGACATTTCGCCCCAATGGCTATTTGTTTTTTTTTAATAGATATACACTAAAAGTTTTGGGCTTTAATTGAGAAACGGGTTATCTCAAAATCAAACTAGTTGTCTATAAAACAACTAGTAACCAAGTACATGACGACGACGTCATTGACATCTATGTCTGTTAGGTATTCTGCAATGTGCTCAAACCCCAATGCCCATATCTACTTCTATATGTATTATTTTTTTGTGTTCGAGGAACTCATTATTTTAATAACATAATAGAAGACTAGTGGTGTCCGTAGACCATATGAATGTTATTGTTAAAATAAATATACCATAAGAAATGGAAGAAAAAGAAACAGTATTGTCAACATCTTGTACAAAAATCTCTCATATATTTCTAGCCCACTGATTTATATTAGTTTAGTTGCAATATCACTATCTGTGTTGAAAAACATTATCTGATCCGTCTTAGAAAAAAAGAAGTAGATGCATTTGGACGAAAATGAAATTCATGTCAACATCTTTACTCTCTTTCCTCCTAGTTGATCCTATAAAAGTTTGCGGATGTGGAGTTGAACTTTATTAGTATGAAATGAATTGCTTCACTAACAATGTGTGTTATTTTTCTACTTGGGTTTGGTTTATACAAGTCCAATGGGCTTGGATTTGGTTTATCCAAAAAGGCAATGGTTTTAGTGTTTAGATTTTGAGCCCATTAGTTTTACTTTCAATGGGACCATAAACTCACGTTTGTTACATATGATAACTCACCAATTGATTTTGCAGTAGCACAGCAGCTGCACAAGGGAGTTTTAGGATTACTCAGCATTTTACTTACATTCGTTACATTACATGTATATATATGCAAATCATTTTCTTCTTCCCATCCAAGGAATTTGGCATGTCCTTGTAACTTATTGTGTGTTGAAATTGTCTCTGCCCTGACGGGTCATTATCAAGCGAGATATTGTCCATTAGCATGAAATTTCGAATTTTTTTGAAGTTCACTTTTTACAACGAACAAGAAAAAAGGCACTGTCGTTTTGTCTTGAAATTATCAATAAGACAAATTTCGGTTCCGTCAGAGCAGATTAAAATAATATAGGAAAGTATAGCTGGAGCCCAGAGTAGGTATGGGCCCATAACGATAAAATAGGCCCATTAAGAAGTAAACGCGTATATCACGGTAGACAAGAGAGAGAGTGAGTGTGAAAGCATCAGAAAGTAGAGAAAGACATGGGATGCTGCTTGAGCTCCGGGAAAGTCACAGCTCCGCCTGTCGCGGCCGCCAAGACTCCTCCTCCACCCATTGAAGAAGAAACGGTGAAAGAAGTCGTGGTCCAGTCAGTCTCTGTCTCCGTCCCCGTTCCCGTCCCTGAACCTGACCCCATTCCCGTCGCCGAGATCGTTCCAGAACCTCGCAACCCTCCTCCTCCTTCACTCCCAACTCCAGAGATCTCTCACAACAAGTCAGACACTTGTAGCGTCTCTCACAGTTTCTCCACCGCCACTACAGCTACTGCTGCTTCCATCCTCGAAGACGACGCTGTCAGCAAACCCCACCGACACCCTCCTCCTTCTTCTTCCTCCACCTCTCGCCGCAACATGTCTGAAAGAATCTCCAGATCTCCCGGAGGACGCCACTCGCCTCAGGGGAAGCTCCGTCCTAGGCCAGTCCGAGAGAGACAACAACAACAACCTCTTCAACAAAACCCTACCAACAACCGGCGAAATGTGGTCTCAGGTCCTCTCCCGAGAAGCGGGTTACAAGAAACTGGTCCGAGGCGTCGCTCTCGTTCTCCGGCGACTCGTGCCCCGAGTTCCTCAAGAAGAAGCCCCATGAAGAAGCGAGAAGAGAAAGAGGGAACAGAGGAGGTGAAGGTGAAGAAGGAAGAAGATAAACTAGCTGTTGAGGAGAAGAAGGAAGAAGATGTAGTAGCTGTGAAGGACCCTGAAGTGTCTATGGAATGTTTCATCTTCCTCTGATTTGATCTTATTATCTACTTTCATTAACTAATGTGCTTCATTGATTTTTGATTTGTATATTGCGTTAAGTGTTTGTACTAAACTCCTACTACGTAACCAAATCTTTGCGGATCTTTTGTTTGTTTTTTGTTTATTGACTTTTAAAAGTAAAAGCAAAGACTACGCACAACGCTTCACAAAATTCCATAGCTTTATTCATGGAGATTGCTGCTTTTTTGCTCTGAGTTGAGCAGACAGAAGACACTGTTCTGTTATAACACTCGACTACATAAACACTTGTCTTTTTCTGTTTACTTCATATTTAAAACAAAAAACAAAAAAAAAAAAGTCCTAATAATAGTTTGAACAATAGTAAACTTGAAATTCAAGAAGTTTTTGTTCAGAATGATCTTGAGTAGGAGGGAGGACATGGCTGAGCAATGAAGGTTGGAACCTCTTCTCCAGGCATCAACACTGATATTTCTCTCTCACACACACCAATCTACATACAATACAAACACACTAGGTTAATTATCTTATGATATCATCCCATAAAAGACAACTAATGTGTAGACAAATAAGTAGTGAAAAAGCCTCTCTTATATAACATAACTATTATTTTTCTTCCTTCTACTCGGTGAATATTCAAACCTCGTTGCATGAAACAAGGGGTTTTTGTATCCCCATAAAAATACTATACATTTAATCTAATCCTGTTTTGGGACTTTGCAACATTTCAAAGATACGACAAAAATAAGCTTCCTCCAGCATAAACTCGATCTACATTATAGACAAATCAAGCAAAGTCTTGACTATAGACGTCATCAAAGTGATATGAATCGTCAGGGTTAAAAAGAAACAAAAAGGTTTTAAGTTCATCTAAAGCTTATGAGATGTTAACTACATATAAACCATGCTTCAGTGTTTCTTAACTAAGTTAAAAACCAACACAAGCAAAAACGTAGACAAAAGTGTAAAAGAAAATAAAGTGAAGAGGTAAACCTTTGGGGAAGCAAATGGAGACAGCTTTTGGTTGAAAGGTGGTGACGTAGTCTGTCGAATGAACATGAACCTCTCAAAGAGAGCAAGTAAAAGGAAGATGGAGATTAAAACTGCGGTTGCCACCAAACAAAACGGTACCGCATTGACCGAGCTCTGAAAACGTCCTTCACCTTCATCCTCCGCTGCTAAAGGAGCTGTAGTTCCCCACCGTAGATGGTCGTTGCTGCCACTCATTTGTAAAATGGAATGAGAGTGATGAACAGAGAGGAATAAGAAGTAGTAGTAGAAGGAGAAGATAGTTTAATCGCCAAATAAGCGTTTAGTTGACTAGTCAATATTACATATGGTTTTCTAAGATTTAAATGGGCCTCTAAATATGGGCTTATTTATTGGGCCTGTCTTGCTTATGTTTTTTTTTTTTTGCTTATGTTTTTGTAAACTGTATCTCATTGAAAAGTCGCGAGCATCGAAATCGAGCGGAGAAGAAGAAAGATCAATCAATCAATCTCGGAGACAATGGCGAGGATTGAGCTCATCGACGAGGAGGATGAGAAGAGGAAGATGAAGATGAAAAAGAGAAACCATGGATCCACGAAGCTATTCGTGTTGGTTGACTATCTTTTCATCTTTATATTTTTTTGCTTCCTTTGTTTCATTGTCTATAAGGTATTGGGCGCGTGAAACTTACATCGGTTTGGTTTGGTTACGCTATGGACACGGAAGGAATTGCATTTTTGTCTTAATCGCATTGTTTTTATGAGCTTTCGGATGTTGTCTTGTTTTTGCAGCTAATTTGATCATTACCAAACGCTAACTGTTCGTGTCTGTAATACATTTGCTGGTTGCAGTTATATCTTTTTAATAGCATATACGCAAATTCTCTTGATTCGTCCAATACATTATATCTTTTGTAGAGATCGAGAGAGGGATAACAAGAGATATGGTTCGTAGACTTGTTAGAGACATTTTTTTTTTGTTAGAGACGCTTTTGCATCTAGCAGATGCTTATTTGGTGACAGTTTGATGTCATGGTTGTGGCACTGGTGGAACTTTATCTTTTCTGGAGCTCGGACCGGAAGCTTCGTGTCCAGAGTTTAGTGCAAAACTACTAGGGCCAGGTTTACAGGGAAGTCGGAATGTTTGATATCAGTGTCATTGGAGGATTTGGGAATGTTACGTGTTCCCTTCACTCTCTCTGCACATCCAAGAAGCAAGCTTAGCAGAATCACTGTGGTAGGTATTGTTTGCAGAGGAGAATCCATAGTTGTTGTTAGTGGAGGATAGAAGTAGGGAGATTGAATGTTTTTGGTTTGTGGAGGGAACCAGGAACAGAGTAATGTAGCAGTGAGATGATTCAAGTTAATTATGGGTAGATTAAACGAACATTAACAAGTGCTTTATTATCCTAAAAGAGAGCCTACAAAAGCTGGTGGCGTCCTTGTGAGTTAAGTGCATTGATCAGTCACCTTATTCGCCACAAAATGCTTAATTAGTAGATTAACTAGTTACTTGCCCCAGTTGATTCCGGTTGTGGTATAATGGATGACTCAAACAAGGTGTATACATTTGGATTGAAATACAATGCAAGTGGCTCTTTTTTTTTATCGGGGGTGAATAATGAGTGGGCCTTCAATTGTTATACTGAGGAGAGCTGTATGCTATCGCAAGATCCCGGCCATTCACAACATGCCAGCTTATTGTTGACAAAGTCAATCTTTTGATAACTATCAGTTTGAGACCCGACTAATCGTGAGGAGTAAATGAAACTTTCGAATAGTCTATTTATCTGTTTTTAATGGATTTTTAACTTGTTTTTTTTTTTTTTTTTTTTTGTATCTTAGGCCTATGGAAAAACCTAATTCCAGATATTCAAATGAGCCCGGATTGATAATCTGTTATTATTTATGATGAGAATTGTTTCTAAGAAAAACAATTTTATGTCAAATGTCCTGATCTTCTATCACTAAACAACCACCATGTTATATTTCTTTTTTTTTTTGCCATTATTTTTTACATAATAGTTATGGTTTTCAAGAAAACAAAAAACTTTAAGATGAGAATTGTTTCTAAGAATTTTTTTTATGCCAAATATCATGATCATCTACCACTGATCAACCACCATGCTATATTCTTTTTTTTTCCAATAATATTTTTACATAATAGTTATGGATTTCAAGAATTAGTTTAGATTTTTAGACTAGGTATTTTGTTTTCACATGCATGCAATAAATTTTTCATTAATATATATATATATATATATTTGTTATTGTGTTGAAATTTTAAAAACATTCACATAATAAAAATAATCTATAAAATAGTTCTATACAAATGTTTTGTTAGATTAATATTTAGTTATAGATTATTTTATATCTTAATTTTAATCCTTTTTATAATGAAAATATTATTTCCAGATAATAACAATATATATATATATATATATTATCTTATTTTTTAAACATATTTTTATTTTTGAAATATAACCAATTATCTACTATAATTGATAAATCTAATATTATTGACATCAAATTCATTTTTAATTATATAAAAAAATTCACTAATGGTTGTTCAAAAAAAATTTCATTAATGGTATAAATGATATTAACTATTTTTAATATTTAAAGTAAAAGCTCAAACGCGAAAAACAAATAGTAGTATAGATTTTTTCATAGAATTCCTGAATGTTTAAACTATATATATTCATCTACAAATAGAAGATTCGAAGAACAACATGATGTATATATGGACGTGAGATACTACGTTGACATTCGTTACGAAGAAAATGACTGTCTAAATAATAAATAAGATAGTTGGTCGGTTTTTAAAATCAAAGAAACGAGAAAACACAACTTGGTCGGTTTCTGCGGGTGTCTTTTCATTAGTGGAGAAGAAGAAAATAACATTATAAAAAAGTGAAAGCTGAATTTGACCAATCACCGACCTGAAAGATTGGTTACTATAATCAAAGATTATATGTACATAATTAAATATAGATCATAGCCCTAACTAAGTACTAGGTTGTCATCAAAACGGTAATTCTTGTGTGATGTTATCCTTAGCCGCGGCTAGCCGACCATTACCACATACAATACCATCATCAATTATTCCATTCAATTTGTATTAACCTCCTCAAACGTGATATTTGTTATTAACAGTCTAATCTTATCTTCTTAACTTGTGACTTGTCGCAATTAGAAAGCAGGAATGGAATGTCTTCACCGTCCAAAAGAACATTGAATGCCACGTAGCTGTACGGACGTGAATGTTTGTATCTCCACGTTGTGTTTTTAATCTTCTCAACTTTCCAAATGGACGGGGAATGAATGAATCTAGAGTGGAAGCAAAGGAATGATTATAGTAACCCCAAAAAGATATATAGTATTTGAAATAATAATAGTCAACCGAAAGCTAAGATATTTTGTTATAACTAAATACTAAAAGCAGGTGCCCACATCTTAATGTGCTCTCATATATAAAGTCCATAGACTAATCTCTCTCTTGCAAAAACAAACAAATACAACAAAGTGTAAGGCAATGGACTTTGACGAGGAGCTCAACCTTTGTATGACCAAAGGTAAAAGTACCAATCCTTCTTTTGGAGAAGCTTCTTCACTCAACCTTTGTATGACCAAAGGTAAAAGTACCAATCCTTCTTTTGGAGAAGCTTCTTCAACGTCGTCCCCAAGATCTATCAAGAAGATGAGAAACCCTGATAATAGATCCAAACCTTATCTCCCATTTTCATCTCCTTCTCCTTCTTCTTATAACTCCTTGCCGGCTTTTCCTTTTTCTCTTGATCCCACGTTTCAAAATCAACAACAACAACTCGGATACGTTCCCATTAATCAGCAAAACAACCCTACAATACAAGGCCAACATCAAATGATATCGTTTAGTCCTCAACAGCCTCAGCAACAGCAGCAGTATCAGTATATGTTCAAGTATTGGAGTGACACATTGAACCTGAGCCCTAGAGGAAGAATGATGATGATGAACCAAGAAAATGTTCAGCCTTACAGCTCAACTAAGTTGTACAGAGGAGTTAGACAACGTCAATGGGGGAAATGGGTTGCAGAGATACGTAAGCCACGGAGCAGAGCACGTCTCTGGCTTGGTACCTTTGACACAGCTGAAGAAGCTGCTATGGCCTATGACCGTCAAGCTTTTAAGTTGAGGGGTCATAATGCAACACTTAATTTTCCAGAGCATTTTGTGAATAAGAAAATTGAGCCTAATGATTCAACTGATGCGTCAAGCTCGCTGCACGAGAAGCAATCCGAAACGCCGCAGCCAAACGAGCCAAACGAGGTTAACTTGGAGAGGAAGGAAGTAGCGGTGAGTGATGGTGGAGTAGAGGAAGGGATGGCTGAGGCGTGGTTCAATGCGGTTGCAGCGGGATGGGGTCCTGAAAGTCCTCTTTGGGATGATTTGGACAACTCTCAGTTTTCACAAAGCTCGACTTCTTCCTCTGCTTCTTATCCCATGAGGCCTTTCACATTTTAGGTTGTAGTTTAGGGTTTTGCTCATCAGCATTTGGATGGAGACAGTTTTTTGTGATCTCCCATTCCATACAATAGTCTATTTACATGTGTGTGTGTTCATCATTTATATGTGTGTGTGCCGCTGATTTTGCTACATATATAGATGTCCTATTAGTTCATCTGCGTCTGTTTCATGGCATTGTATCTGCACTTCAATAAGTTAAGAACCTCCCATATTATCTAGAGGTTATCTTGACAACTGCTTCTTATTTAAGATATTTGTACATCGGTCACTAGTTGAACATTATTTTTTTTTCATGAGTTTTCTATACTGGTTGAAATAAGGACCAAAAATGTGACATAGAAGATCGTTTGATCAAAAAAAAAAGATCGTTTGTAATCTTAAAGGTATCAACCCACCAAAAAATTCTAAACTCCTGCTCCCCACTAATTAGCCATTAATGGTTCATGTTCATATACATCATCGCTAAACCGAGTTGTGGAAAGCAATTTTGGGTTGTAAGGTCGATGTTTACTTGTCTATAACAGAATATCTATAACAAAATCACAAAGCTGTTCAAACTTCTTTCATAAAATGAGCATTTTGTAATGAGAACATAGTACTTTTCTCAACCGGTGATATAAATTATAGACTAACGCGGAGACTGAAATAGAAAAGGAACCACAAACTCAGGCACTAGCACACAAATACCCTATATATTAAAAGAGAAACATTACAATATTTTTGGTAACCATGTGTCATCACCACAATGAATCTTAAAAATCCTTAGAAAAAATGTTGGTCCATCTATGTTTATAATAAACTTTTTATTAAACTAACAATAAATTTATCGTTAATGTTCTTTTTTTTTCCTTAAATAAAATTACAGAATTTCCTAATATGACTAAAAAATATATGAAATTAATGGTTTTGAATAATAACAATTAGTGTATCATATCATATTTGTTTAATTTTAAATTAGCGAAATAAATTAAACAACTATATTTTCCATAAAAAAAAAACTATATTTGATTGTCCATGTTATATTATCATTTTCAAACGACTTTAGATTATTAAAATTATAAATTGTTAAAACTATTAATCCCACAGTAAAATTTTCTTATCAGTGATTTCATTTTTTTGTTATACACACAAATGATCAAAAATCATACGAATGAAAAGCATCATTTAATATATATCAATAAAAAAATACAGAATATATACATTAATATCATTTAAATTTAATTGTATACCACATACAAAAATTATTTGTATTACTGAAACTTATTTATATTTTTAGCCAATTTATTTGTAAACGCAAAAGTTACTGATGAATGATTCAATATATATTTATTATTTTATAATATATAAAACATATAATATATATTAATAAACATATATATAATGTTCATTCCGCCCAATGTGCATATTAATCTAGTTAGACAATTATTGTCCAAACGTTAAAGATGTGTTCATTTTACATGTGATGAAGCCCATTACACTATGAGTATTAGGCCGACCAGTAGCCCATTAAGTAACACGCAGGCCCTTTTCGAGAAGCTCCCAAAATGTGATGACTTGACAGAATCTTTGACTTGACATCATCATCTGACGCTGGCTAATCCAGAAAACCTAACTTAAGAGTAGATGAATGATGCACAAGAAATGAAATGAAACGACAACCCCATAATACATTTCTTCCCACGTGTCATAGTCTGCATGAATCCACACATTGAGAGTGATCATATTTTAAGTATTTAGCCAATAGCTTCGGTGCGAACTTCCGAGAATCTGTGGTTCTTGGGCTAAGGGGATATGTAATTCAAAGTTTGTTGCTCAGCTTTCCACCAACATTTTAACAAACAAAAAACCTCGATTATTTTCCATATCATTTTTGTTGGTTCGCATTGTGAATTTTTTTTAAATAATATTGACGTGGCTGACTTAGTTGAGAGAGACCTTTTCACAAGCAACATCTACTATTGAACTTGGGAGTTGCCTTAAGTAAAATGTTAATATGTGATCACCTTCTCATCATCAATTTTGATAGCACAAGGCACCTGACATTAACACGTTATTTGAAAATGATCTGTGCGTATTTGATGAAAGAATCCAACTACTTTACCGTCCTCACTCTCTTACCCATTGAAACTATACGCTTTTGGATTCAAAATTCAAACGCAACATACATTCTCATACCTTTTTAGTTTTGTAAAGGAAACCTGCATGCAAAGTCAACTGACCTATATATTAACATGAAAAGTCAACTATGTGCTTTACTTCTGACTCTCACCACCATCAGGCATTAAGGTAAACAAAATTACTCTCACAAGGTATTTTTAATCTCTTAAGTTGAATTACTTTTCTATATATAGGAGTACATACTGTATATTATATCCACTCAGCATATGCAGAAAAATATATTGTTGTACTAACAGAATCCAAGTTACATGAATTATATATATTGTAGTGCATAAAGACAACACTATCACGTCGATCGCTTCTAGAATATATACAGTTAGAAAACGTTTGGCAATACTATATGCTGTCTTTGCCAAGCTAATATTTGCTTTTGTATATAATCTTGTGTCTCAAACTGACACGTGCCATATCAAGCCCATGCCAAATGAGGTTGACATTTGGTTCTTCCACGTCAAATATAAACTCTTGGGCATTCACATCCTTATATAAACAAATGAAACGGAGAAGGTAAGAGTGCACCCACGGATTGACATTTACAAAACTTAAGAAACTCCTTTTGGCTCTTCGACCCTTTTATAAGAGAACGAAGCTATTATTCTCTAACGTCCATCGGTGTATACATCCTTTTTTTGAATTACCAACTAAAGATGGGAAGATTACCTTGTTGTGACAAGAATGGAGTGAAGAAAGGACCATGGACCCCTGAGGAGGATCAGAAACTCATCGATTATATTCGACTTCATGGTCCGGGCAACTGGCGTATTCTCCCTAAAAATGCTGGTAAGTTTATACACATATCTCCTGATAGATTATGGTCTCTATAAATTGAATTATACACTAATTAATGAGTGGTATTGTACAAATTAAAGGACTCCAAAGGTGTGGAAAAAGCTGCCGTCTTCGATGGACTAATTATCTAAGACCGGACATCAAGAGAGGAAGATTCTCCTTCGAGGAAGAAGAAACTATCATTCAGCTACACAGTGTTATGGGAAACAAGTAAGCCTCATTCACATCAGATTTGATCCATTAGCTACAATTTTTTTTGTACGTTTAATCAACTAATGAAAAAGCGAGAGGTATACGTATGCATGCGGACCGTATATTTCAACATTTAGGCCATCAACTCCACTAAATTATTATTATTCCTACGTATTGACCTATATATTTTAATATAAAGTGAGTTGTATATTTATTATTGACCACTAATTGAATCGAATGATGAATTATAGGTGGTCCGCAATAGCAGCTCGTCTACCAGGAAGGACTGACAACGAAATCAAAAACCATTGGAACACTCATATCCGCAAGCGACTTGTAAGGAGTGGCATCGACCCTGTGACTCACTCCCCACGCCTTGATCTTCTTGACTTGTCCTCACTTCTAGCCGCGATTTTCAACCAACCAAACTTTTCATCAGTTGCAACACATGCATCATCTCTGCTTAATCCTGATGTATTGAGATTGGCTTCTCTTCTTTTGCCGCCTCAGCAACCACTTCAAAACCCTAATCCAATTTACGCTCCGAACCTCGAACAAAATCTTCAAACTCCAAACACATCAGTATCTTCTCAAGACACTCAACCACAAGTCGAGTGTACAACTCCAACAAAGGATGAAACTACATCTTTCGAGCCTATGAACGCAAGACTCGAGGTCGGTCCTTCAGATGTATTACCACCTTTGTCTGAGAGTTTTGACTTAGACTCACTCATGTCAACGCCAAACTATTCTCCACAACAAAATAACATTGAAGCAGAAGCCAACTCCAACAGTTTCTTCAACTTTGAGTTTCCGGATAGTTTTACCTTTGATGACTTTATGGGGTTGATTTAATTATCAAACATATGCATATCTCCATCTATGATTCATGAATTGTTGTATTCTTTTTATGGTTTAATGTAAAAAACTTATTATTTTTCCGTCGAAGATAGATATGATATTCTATATAATTTTTCATGATTGTGTAGTGTAACGTATTAGGGTGAGCTATCTTAACTTTTCTCCACACGTCATATACGCTGAGAACTACAGTAAAAAATTAAACATAGAAAGATAAGCATCAGTCAAACTATAATAAGAAGTCCTTGAAGGCTTGAAGCTGTCTAGCCTCGACGACGAATGAAACGAGCAACACATCCCATGTTGTTTTTAATATACACGGCTATGTAGTCCGTACCGACCGTACGTAGAATAACATTGTCATTTTCCCAAGTAATGTTGATGGGATTAAGGTAAAGTTGGTAATGGTGGGTAAGAAGTCGTTAATTAGGTACGTTGGTAAAGAAGAGAGAGGGGTGTTAAAAAAAAAAAGGTAAAGAAGAGAGAGGGATGTTATGTTAACTAGGCCCACTATAAGGTTCATTTTGTAGCTCTCTAAGTCGTTAATAGCCCAATCTAAGGCCTATTTTCGGGAAGAGCTAGCTATGTAAGTCAACTTATTCTTTTTCAAAAGACCAATTGATATCTAATATGAGTGGATTAGTTTAGATATCGCACATATAAATGATGTTTCTTTTTTCAATTTAAAGCAATAGATAGTGTGAGCAGCTGAGACTAACTTAAGTCTTACAAAATGGAAGACGGATTTAGGTATTTGGTATGGGCAATATGTTATCAAAGAATAGTGTGAAAAACTGAAAATGCTTAAAGAAGAAGATTAGGTGTTGAAAATTTTAAAAAGGATGAAGATTAGGAAAAAATTTAGTAAAATACTCATTTTTCTCGGCTTTTTGAGTTTCACTTTTTTCTGACGGCCCGTTTCCCAAGGCGAGCTCCGGGTTATCTTCCTACCCGTTTGAAAAAAAACGTTACACAATTTATATTTACTTTTAGTTTTTGTCAAATGCTCAATAAAGCGAATCAATGATTTAGTATATGATTGTTGGAGTTTTTGTTTGTGTGTTTGGTTATTGTCCTTTACAATTTGGCCCTTTTCTTCCTGTAACTTATACTACATTCGCATCTCATCTCACATCGTTTTAGAGTTCCATCTCTTTCTCCACCATTCTTTTTTGTTTATTTTTTCATTATAACATTTTTTTGTGAGCATTTTACAAAATTAAAAGCTCACCCGTTATACCTATTACCTAAAGCCTACAGGTAACATACATATGCAAAACACATGATAATCTATAAATACAATAAATATGAATCATACAATATTTGTATTTACTTAGTTAAGGATCTTAGTTACTAGTTTAGTCCAAACCAAAAGACAGAAGCCTTATAATTTCCGGAACTAAACACAGTTTACAAAGACTGTAAAACAAACCAGAAGCTGCCAAAGTCAGGAATCTCTTGTTTTCTTTTCAATCACATCTCTCTCTCACTCTCTCTCCACAATAATCCTATAGAAAGAACAAAAGAGAGAGAGAAGATAGTGAATAATGGAAGGCTGCTTTTCTTCGTGAAATCTAAAAGACAGTTACACAGAGATTTGAGAGAGCGTCATAATTTCATTAAAATCCATTTCTCAATCTCTCCCTCTCTCTCTCTTTAGCCTTTTACACAATGAAGAGAAGTTTCACTTCACTCCTCATCATCATCCTCTGTTCTCTCTTCTTCCACATCGTCTCACCCAATCTACTCCTCGAACCGGTCACACCCAACACCGTACCTGCCTTCCCGGTCGAAACCCAAGCTCAAACCTGCCGTCTCGACCTCTCCGACGAGCTCTTCGGCGGAGTCAATGAAGCTTGCGGTAGAAACCTTGACCGTAGCCGATGCTGCCCTGTTCTCGCCGCGTGGCTATTCGCAGCTCACGCTCGCTCTGCTCTCCAGTTACCAGCTCCCGCTCCGACGTCCTCCGACCCCGACGAGCCCATGAGACCGGACGACTCTCAGAAGTGCGTCAACACGTTGCAGAGTGCGCTTCTGACCAAGAAAGTCAAGATCCCGCAGCCTAACTCGACATGCGATGCGATACTCTGTTTCTGTGGGATTCGTCTTCACCAGATAAGCTCACTCTCTTGCCCCGCCGCGTTCAATGTCACCTCCGGTTTCCGTAACGCAACCCCGACCGCCGCCGTGAAGAATCTTGAGAAGGAATGTCGGAACTCTTCTTACTCTGGTTGTACGAGATGCCTCGGCGCTCTTCAAAAGGTTCGGTTTTTGAAATATAAAGTTTCATCCTTTATGTTCCTCTGTTTTAAGGAGTCTCTGCATTTAATGAAAATTTTTATAACCTTAAAAGCGTAATAAATGTTTCGTCTTCATATTCGTGACTAAAAGAATGTTCATTAATTACTGTCGCTCTCTTTCCATGGAGAAAGAAAGTTCTCAGGAACTCAAATTTCATTTTTTTAATTTAGTGTTAATTAGGGTTTGTATTAGTTTTAGGGTTCATGTTGCTCTTTACTTAGGTTAAAGAAGTACATTGTATTTTCTTTTGGGTATCCTTTTAGGTTGCAAACAATTAGAGATATACTTTTTCAGTAACTTTCCTGTTTCGTATAACCCAAAGCACTGCCTTCTTCTGAAACACTGACCATTCACACGCAACCTTTTCTTGTTTTTATTTTTTTCTTAAAGATCTTGTTTTTTTATTGATGGGTTACAGCTCAAGGTAAAAGGAGGAAGCAAGAAGACAACAACGGATAGAGCTAGTAAGATGATGAGCAAAGACTGTCAGCTCATGGGACTCACGTGGCTACTTGCTCGTAACAAAACGGCATACATTCCCACCGTTTCAGCTGTGTTAAGAGCAATTATGTATAGTCCACACCCTCCTCACCTCAACAAGTGTAGTCCTGACCAAGAGAACATGCCATTAGCCGTTGACTCGCTTCAGTTCCAGAAGAGCCTTGCTGCCTCGTCACATTTTACTCTGTTTCCTGTTTTACCCCTAATCCTCTGCATTTTTATCTTTCTGTAGTTTTTAATTTATTAATTTTTAGTCGGAAGGGAAAGAGAGTCACGTGAAGCTACAAGACAGATTGTGTGCATGTAAATGCTTTCCTCTTTTTTGGTTTTGTTTGTCTAACCCTAAAAAAAAATTAAACTGTGTTTTGTCTAATTAAACGCACTGTCCTAGGTCTTGGAATTTAAAATCATCTTGAGGCTAGAAAGTTGTCATATTGGACTATATAAGATCCATACCATGTGCACTTAGTAATTAACAAGAAATAAAAATGCCTTTCAAGTAGTCGAATCCCAAGGGGGACTAGTAAAGCATGTTGGTCGTCTCTACTAATGCGAATGTATTCTCCCAAAGTCAAATCCAAAAGGCTCTCGCCCTTTCCCCCAGTAATAATAACTTTTGAATATGCATTTTTTTTTCCTTTGAAAAAGAACTTTTGAATGTGCATTTGTTCTCTCATTCTCAAAACAATAAGATATAAACTTTGTTTTTTCTCACTCCTGCGCACATGCGGTTGAGAAGCTTGCGTCTACTGTGACTGTTCAAAGGACGTGTTGATTGGGTTTGTTAAACAGCAAGCAAGATAGAAAGAAGGATATATTTTTAGAATGTCAAAGCTTAGCTAACCCTTTTTGGGTTAAAAAATATTGCTTCTACTTAAATTGTTTATGTCGAAAATATTTAACTTCAAAAGAGTCTTAAATTTAAATCCGTTTTAGGTTCAAAGAATTTGTTATTTCCTGTCTAAATATAGAACATCATAACCGAACGAGAGTTATGTTTCTAGTTGATTATATAAATAACCATAATTATATTTTGATAAGTTGCATGTCATGTGTTCTATTGTCTCGCCTAAAAAGCTCTTTTCTTACAGTTCCTCTCCTCTATAGAAACTAGCTTTTATTATCCAACAAAAGCGATTAAAATACTGAGAAATGGCGAACGGGTGCGAGATTTGCTGTGAAATAATGATCGCCATATTGCTCCCTCCACTTGGGGTATGTCTAAGGCATGGATGTTGCACCGTATGTCTTCTCTCACTCTCTCTCGATTTCGATTCTTTCTAGTTTTAGAGCTTAGATATATATTTGTAAGCATCTCAATAAATGAAATGTGTAGACGGAGTTCATGATATGTCTGATCCTGACGCTTCTGGGATACATACCTGGGATCATCTACGCACTCTATGCAATTGTCTACGTTGATCGTGATCAGTTCTTCGACGAATACCGTCGTCCACTCTTCTACGCACAGTCACCTTGATTTAATTTATGCAACTTCAGTTGTCCTTGTTCTTTTTAATGTTTTGATTGAATCTACTCCCTCATACATTTTCATCTTTCTTTCAATAATTTCAAGATTTTAATACTTTTTTTTTGTAACATGCTCAATATTTTTTTCCTGGTGTTTTGTTTATCTAATCATAATTTAAAATATAACCAAAAAAAACATTCAGTAGAATCGGTCAGGGTCGGATGGTATGTGATGAGAATATCATGCGAGCTCCACAAATAGTAGAACAAAAATAGTAATATGAACAAAAAAAATCTTTAATCACTTTTAAATATTTTCCAACGTTATCCTAATCTATGTTACAAGATCATTCCTAAAACTATATATTGTCTACGTGTGTTATTTTCCTGTTTTCTTGCAGTAAAAAGAACTATGTGACGTTTATATGAATGTGATGGTTTCAAACAAAATACATAACGATAGCTACAAGTGGCAAATGACAATACGCTTTTTTTTTTTTTTATTACAGACAATCAGGAACTACAATGAAACATATATTATCAACAACAGAGTTTATGACCGTTTGATAATTTTACATAAATCAATCAAATAGAGAAAATCTAATTAAAGTAATCACTCTGATTATGTAAATCAGGATCACTACAAACTGAACTTATAATAGGAGTGCGAGGAGAAAAGAAGAAGCAGCACCAATATGAAAGGAGCTTGGCAGCATCATAGTTGACGCTGCGGATGTTGAGTTGCTAGGCCCTCTGTTTCTTATCCGTTTTCTCGTGACCACCGCAAGATTCCTTGAGCCATGCTCGTTAGCTGAACACAAAAGAAGAGTCTCGGAGAAGAAGATGAGGAATATGATAGAAAGAAGAAGTATGCGTCTGGCTTTGATCTCGCTCATATTTGGCTATTATTTTTTGCTTAGTTCTGATGAATCTGTTGATTATGTGAATCATGTAGTTATATAGATAATGCAAAGGAGTAGTTGTTTTTAAATTGAATAAACGATGCTGGAAAAAGTCTTATTCGGAGGGATAAATATAAAATTAACATACGCGCTCAAGGAAGGCTAGTGGCCTAAGTAGGGAAACCAGCCAGTGTTGAAATAATTTATGTTTATTAATGTTGCAATATTGACCAACGTTGAAAGACAAAGCGATCATCACCAGGCACAAAATGTGATTTCATTCATAAAAGTTACTTGAGGAATTGTAACACTTTTAAGATAATGTCTTTCATGGTTAATTGCAATGAATTTCCTTTACTGATCAAAAATCATGGACCAACTTCCAAGACAAAATGGTCTGCGCTACAACACAGTTTATTATGAGATGATTAATGTCAAAAAAGGATAAGCTGCGATTCTATGTTCGGTAAATAATGATACAACAGGTTCGTGATGGCATTTCCGATCACGACTATATAAAACTACAAAGAAGGCTGTTTCTCCTGCAACGTTATTGAATGTTGTTCCAAGTATTCTTTGCTGTTCATCTCTGTTAATCTGTAGAAAGCATCAGAGATCATTTAGTCAAACTCAAGACTAAGAAACAGAGTAAAGGTAACAGTTTCTGCTAGAGCGTACCTGCTAATGGTCCGGTCTTTAACAAAACCAAGCTCGTTGTCCACGCATAGGTCGATATCATCACTCTTCCTTGATCTTGAAGATGTTCTAGGTGCTATTTGCTGCGCATCAGATATTGTCACTATACTCTCCAGAAGTTCCTGAGGGCTACCCTCTGCTGTGCATAAGAGCCTGGCTTTGTTCTCATACATCACCTGTATGTAATTGAGAAAGTAATTTTGTCAGAATAAAGATTCTTGGGGATTAAATGTAGAAAGGAGAGGTGATGCGATATATACATCAACCAACGTCATAAAACGGTGAGCTGCACTCCTGTTGTGGAGCCCGAACATAGGCACACCTTCCAGAGCCAATGTATGAAATTTCTCTGCAGTGGAAAATTTGAATTTTAGACTAAGCAGCATGAACTGAGCCCACAAAAGTAAGATGTTTATGATATACACTTACTGAATAATCCGAGATAATCAGCTGCGCCTAAGGGTTTATCACAGAGCTCTTTAAAAAGAAAGTAGGCACACCCATTGGAAGCCAGTGGAACCTGGAATCCAACAAAACAAAATTAGAAGATAAAGAATGATCAACAGATATGAGATAAGATATTTGTTGGAATGGTATCTGGAGATGAAACTGTGAAAGAAGAAGCAAAAAACCTGCAATTTTCTTCCCATTACTACTTCAACAACTTGCGGACCCGCTGGTTCATCGCCAACCAACTGCTGAAACTTCTGTTTGAGAAGGCCAGAAATATCCTTTCCAATGAAGTAGAATCCCTCTTCAGCCTGCACCCAAGAGTATGGAGCTATAAGAGTGTGATCACATAGAAACGAAACTTATATAGAGTTACTTGAGTAATAAAATAACGCACAGAAGTCAGTTTCCGATAGTCCACCGATGAACCAATTTCACGAACAACACATCTTTCCTACAATAATTGCTCTTTAGTATCAGTCACACAGTATAATGGATCCCAGGAAAGAGTTCAGTGGACTGATAGTATGATAGTAAGAGGAATGTACATACCTTTAGTGCGGCTATAAACGGAAGGAATAGATCCCTCTGTAAACCTCTTTCATAAAGATTATCTGGAGCACGGTTTGATGTAGCAACAAGAACCTACACTTTCCTCCAGTCACCGACAAAATGAACTTTTAAATAACTATCGGTGTAGGTCCAACAAGTTTGAATAGGTTAGAAGACTAAAGTAGTAGAGATTACTTACAATGCCATTGTTAAACAAGTGTCTAAAGAGACGGTTAAGTATCAGAGCATCAGCTACATCATTGACCTTTTACAACAAATAAAAGCAATAAAGAAAGGTGAGTTACACTGAATTTTTTTTTTTGACACAGTGAAAAAGAGCGTCACATACCATGAACTCATCTAAGCATAGTAATATAGCCTCGTCGGCTATTTCCAAGCCAACGACTTCAAGTGGATCTTCAAGACCCTTATGCATCTGCAGAACCATATTCAAAATCAGAAAGAATTGCAAGCCTTAGCTTTTAAAAAAAAAAACATTGAACAGGAATCTTACCTGCAGGCGGCTATGAACACTGAGCATGAAATTATGAAAATGAATCCTTTGTGCTCTCCAACTACTTGGCCTATCCAAACAAGGATCAGAAATATCCATTCAAACATTATATGATAAACAGTGATCATCTCCTAACTTACAATTGATGAAAAAACAGATCCATGAGCATAGTCTTCCCAGTTCCAACTCCTCCATAAAGGTATAAACCTTTGACAGGAGAGACAGAAGAGTGAGGAGACACAAACTTGTTCCAAAACCAATTACTCCTGAGAATTTACACATAACAAAAATGAAAAACACTATCAACAAAACATCTCAAAACGCAAGTAACTCAATTACAAAAAACTTAATGTAAAATAAACAAAACCTAGTGTTTTTTGCGGATGCAGAGTAACGATCTAATCGACACGCATCAGCGGATTGAACAAGCTCGTCGTAGAGTCTCTGAAGCTCTCTCAAAGTCCCAAGCTGCCAACAACCAAAACAAGATTTTAGGATTGATTTTCAATAGTGAATTAAGAAAAGAAGATGAAATAGACCTGACATAAGTCTCCATCTAATAACTCTCCAGCTACGATTCTCCGTTCATACTCCACGAGAGGCCCAGCAACCTTGGCGTCTCCATTGGGATGTGAAGAAGAAGAGAAGGAAGTAATGGAAGAGGTGGGATTGATCGGGATCAAAGATTTACGAACGGGAGAGAAAGCGTGAGGTTGATAATGATGGCTCGAGAGTAGAGTTACGCGGCGGAGAGAGAAGAGAATCGAGCGCATGGTGGTGTGTGATGAGAATGGAGCATCAGAAACGTTGAAAGGCGGATTCAACGAAGAAGAAGAAGAAGAAGAAGAGTCGTAGAGATGCACCTCCTCTTAGTACGAGACTCTCACTGCTCAACTCTCCTGAACCCCCAGAGAGAGATCCAACAACCCAAAATTGAAATCAGTCAAATCTAAACCGAGAAATATTGCTCTAACTAAACCGATTTAACCGAAACTTGAACCAATAAATAATGAAGAATATAATTATAGGCCCATAGAGTAATTATATGGCCCAAACCTCATTGGCTTTGCCGAGTCGTCGTCATGTTGGCGGATCTGCAAGCTTTCATTTTTGCAATCGAGTGCGTCTTCTCTTTCTCCTACACAACCAAATCTTCTCATCGTTCGTCTTCAGATCAACCATGGAGGATGAGGTAATCCTTCGTATTTTTCGTATTTATTTAACGTAAGTACGGCAAATCCTCTGTTTTCTAGGTTATAAAACAGAATTTTCGTCGTGCAAATTCGACATCGATTCAGGATTCGATTGATAACTACTTATGTTTTGCATTAACTTTGATATCGTTTAGAATTTTTTTTTTGTAAGTAATTTGATTTGATGAAAGTTAACTGCTTTATATAATCTGGCTTTTTCACTCACCATTTCTCGTTTCTTCTTATATTAATGACCTGGATGAGAATAATACGACAGTTCTCTCTGTTTAGTACTCATCATATAGTAATGGTGATAGGGATGAGTATGGTAGAGTTAGCATGTGAATTGAAAGGAAAGGGGGAGATGAAACGTTGAATTATGAAAAAAACATTGTTGAACAGAGAAGAAAGATTGCTTTGGAATTGTATGTTAGGGATGACTATTTTTTTCTGCCGGAATATATTCTCAGCACGCGTGATTTTGTTGCTTCTGTGATTTGTTTCATGGTAGATCAAATTTGGATTGAAAAGGAATATAAAAGATAGTTGAATTCAAAAAGACATTGTTGGTTTCTTTTATCAATCGTTTAGACACTAGTAAGTGTACTGTGTATCTCTATGTCTTACTTGTTTCTATTGAAATCAGATTGAGCTAAAAACTGCCCCTGCTGATTTCCGGTTCCCTACAACGAACCAGACTAGGCACTGCTTCACCCGTTACATTGAGTTCCACAGGTACTCTTTGTTCAAATGTTACGTTTAAGTTTCTGACAGGTACTCTTGTTTGATTGAGTTAGTGACTCTTCTACTTATTCTAACTTTCAAACGACAAACTATATCTTCAGGTGCACAACTGCAAAGGATGAGGACTCCAATGAATGCGAGAGGTTCGCCAAGTACTACCGTGCTCTCTGCCCTGGAGAATGGGTTTGTTACTTTCTTCACGTCTTTACTACTTGATTATCATCTTTCTCTACCTACATATCTTGACGATGATGCGCTAATCTTTCCGCAGGTTGACAAGTGGAATGAGCAGAGGGAGACCGGAACTTTCCCTGGTCCTCTCTGATTCAAGCAACAAGTTTCTCTTTATCATTTTATGCTTAAGGCCAGAAGAAGGTCGTGTGGATTGATCATTGAAAGCTAACTCTATTTTCTGTTTTAAACGTTTTCTCTCTGATTATCAAGATAAATAAATTGAAAATACATTCTTTTGGATTAATAAATACTTTAATTTGGACCTTGATGCACCAATTTCAATTCGCAAGGCAATTTTGTCATTCTCAATAAGTTGAGGGGTGTAATTCACAATAAGTTTATCATTAAGACAAAACTTATCCAGCTGTCGTTGACTAGGACATCTTCTTCTTTTTTTTTTTCGGAACTCAACTAGGACATCTTCTATACAACAGATTTCGTAACTGACAAAACTCTCATTTGCTGTAAAGATTTACTTTCAGTTTCTGCCGGATTCAAAAAAAGTAAAAAAACTCTCCGCCGCAAACAGAACATGGTGCAGTGTAGCAACAACCTTCTCGGAATCCTAAACCTCTTCACCTTCCTCCTCTCAATCCCAATCCTCTCCGCCGGGATCTGGCTCGGCAAAAATGCAGCCACCGAGTGCGAGCGTTTCCTCGACAAACCAATCGTCGTTATCGGAATCTTCCTCATGTTCGTCTCCATAGCCGGTCTCGTCGGCGCTTGCTGCCGCGTCTCTTGCCTCCTCTGGCTCTACCTTTGCGCCATGTTCCTCCTCATACTCCTCGGATTCTGCTTCACCATCTTCGCCTTCGCCGTCACCAACCGCGGCGCCGGCGAGGTTTTATCCGATAGAGGTTATAAAGAGTACCGCGTAGGAGATTACTCAAACTGGTTGCAGAAACGAGTTAGTAATGCTAAGAATTGGGATCGGATCAAGAGTTGCTTGATCTACTCCAACGTGTGCTCCAGTTACAGTAGTCGCTATGCTACCGTTAATGTTGAAGAATTCTACAAGACTAATCTCAATGCCCTTCAGGTTACAATTCGATTTTGATTCTTTGTTTATTTGCAATTTGAGATCGGAGTTTCTAAAAGTGAATCTAGTTTTTTTCGGTAAAGTTCTTTTGCTTTAAGAACACACAAAGCCTTTTTAAAAGTTGTCTTTTGATCAATTCCTTTTAAAAAAAACACTGCTTTTACATTGTAGATTCTGGTAGCATTTAGCTGCATCTTGTTAATATAACATGGAACTTAGTTTATGTGTTAGTATTAGTACATTCTAGTAATTGAATTTCACCAGTTTCAATTTTTTTTGTTTGTTTGCTTCACTTGTGTAGTCTGGTTGCTGTAAGCCGTCCAATGATTGTAACTTCACCTACGTGGGCCCTACTAATTGGACGAAGACCACTGGTCCTTACACAAACGAGGACTGTAACGTTTGGGACAACAAGCCGGGAACTTTATGCTACAACTGCGAAGCGTGCAAGGCTGGTCTGCTCGACAACCTCAAGAACTCGTGGAAAAAAGTGGCTAAGGTGAACATTGTCTTCCTCATATTCCTCATTATCGTCTACTCCGTTGGTTGTTGCGCCTTCAGGAACAACAGGAAACGCAGCTATTATTAGCTCCAAAACCAAGACCTAGAACCAAAAAGATTATCTCAAGTGCCATCGTCTTGTGTGCGAGGTTGCATTTCAATGTAGTTTTCTCTCTTAATTATGCAACATAATATGACTAAATGAGTTATTACAACAACACTTGCTTCGTACTTCTTTTTAGATTTATTTTTTTTGGTATGTGTGTGGAGTAGCTTCTGAATCTGTTGGGACGAGTAAAATTTGTGAAACAAGTTCCATTTCATTTTACTTTATCAAAATAATTATCATTACACCATCTATAATTGAATTTTGATGAGAGTTTACATGAGAAGAGGTTCTAAGAGCTCAGAACTACTAAAAGTCCTATCACCAATCAAAATGGGAACAAAGTCAGACTGAGAGGAAGTGGTGTAATCATTTTGCAGTTTCAGGTCTGTTGCTTCTTCTTGATAGTCTTCGGTTTTACCCCAGAGAACAACGTAGAGACCAAGGATGACAGCCAAAGCCCCCAGCAAGCTGAATACAAAAACGAACAAGAACAGATAAAAAGTTGTGAAATTATAAGTCAGTAAGAAAACAGACCAACAAGACGTACCTGCCAAGGTAAGTCTGCTCTTTTAAGTACATAGCTCCAAAGAAAGTGACAATGACTGTAGAAAGAGGGTTGAAGAGTGCAGAGAAAAGAGGTCCTTTCCGTGACACGCACCAAGCTTGTAGAAAGAAAGACACAGCCAGCTGGAGTCCAGAGTATACGCAACAGGAGAGCTTCACTGAGGAATCAAGCTTCCAGGACGTTAAGTCGGTGTTTCCTAAGGCAAGAGCCATGAAGAAAGAGGCTATGGTAGCCATGAAACAAGTCCATGAGGAAGTGTATAAGTGATCATGACAATGATTAGCAATGGGAACTTGAAGGATCAACCAGGAGGACCAAGAAAATGTGCTAACGAGAAGACATAAACAACCTAGTAACCAAGTGTTGTTGTTGTCTTGGTTCAACATGGCGTTGAGCAATTTAGGTCCTCTTAGAAAAGTCATTGCCATGGCTCCTCCTACACAGACACCTGTTCCTATTACCTTTGCAGCACTTTTCAAACTTTTCCTCTTTATCCTCTCAAATCTGAAACCAAAAATCCAATATGAAACCATGTACAGCAGGAACTAACCACTTATATTCAAAATGATATGAAAATTTATAAAAACTAACCCAACAATGATGGAGATGATGAAGGTGACAGCAGGAATAAGATTGGTCATAGCACAAGCCATGGATGAAGAAGATAAGTCAATCCCTTTGAAATAAGCGTTCTGATTCACAGTCACACCAAAAACAGCTGTGAAAGCCACCCACCAAAAGCCTCTTATTCCAAGTGAAGGTTTGTTTGCTCTGCTCCTATTTTACCATCCACAAAAACACACATGTAGATAAGTTTTCATTTCAACTTCTTGATGATATCTAAACCAGAATAGCCTAGGTATAGTGTGACCAATAATATGTGTACTGATGGGTGCAACCAATATAATATGATATTTATCGTTTGATAAAAGCTTGAACTTACCAAGCGGAGAAGAAAGCGATTGGACAGATGAAGAGAGTAGCGATGGCTTGACGGTAAACTACGAAGACAGTGGGGTTGAGTCCTTCCATGAAAGCAGCTTTGGTGAAGAGTGCAACTCCTGCAGATGTAAACTGTAGCAGCACTAACGCCATAACCGGCTTGTATTTCTCCATCTCCATCTCTTGCACCTCTGACCTCTCTCTCTCTCTTTCTTTGTTATTTTTCTTTAAGATCTTATCACTACAAATGAATATCTCTCGTTATACGTCTTGGCTGTATTATATAATATCAAATATGTTAATACAAATGAATCAACCATGTGTCAAGCGAGTCTGCGTTTGTGTGAATGATGTGATAGGATGTAATAACAAGCTTGGCCGCCGCGTAATGAGGTAATGATCAATTCTATTATTATATAGTATAGAGTACATTACATCTTTAGAGAATGTAAGAAATTAAGTATTTATCTTGGTGAAATCTCGAAAACATAAACTAGAAGAAAAAAAATTTTATATTGGGTGAATTGTGAAATGAAATATCTAGGCATAGGGGACAATCCACTTTATTTCATTTGATTATTCATGTTTATTCGAAAACTCGGTACGAGATCTTATAGAGTAGATCCACTTTAATTCATTTGATTACTTATGTTTATTACTTATGTTTATTCGAAAACAAATCTGGCAAAGCAAAGCTGGAAACATATATATAAGCATGGAAAGAACAACAAAAGAAAAGTTTTTATTTTTCAAAAAAGGAACAGCAAAAGATATATCTTATGATTGATTTCGGTTTCGAAGTTCCGCATCACAAAGTAAAAAAAAAAGTAGTCACTATCCTGATTTTGTATCTACAGATTAACAAATAGCTTCACGATCATATAATATAGTTAATCCTAAACTACATATGCGGGATCACGAGATATGTAAAAAAATACATTCCACGAATCTGCAAACTATGAAAAAAATACTTCGCCAGTTGTTATGACTCCCATGTGATACGTTTCATGTACAATAGTTTGAAGTGTATTATTGTATAATTTAGAATACAGGTGTATATTATAGGACACACAGAACATAATTGTCTGAGATAGGTAAAATATCATATGCGTGAACATGTCAAAGTTAATGAGCCAGTTTGTCTTCTTATGTCTATCAGTATCAACCAATACGTAACGTAGGTTCTCTTTCTATTATTGGTGAACCGATTTATATGTTTCCCTTGGTATTTGTGGACCAATCAGACTCGATGCATGAGAAGACATACAATCATAGGATAATGACAAAGGCTCTCTGACTCATCATACACATCATCTTCGCATCACCATTCTCATCCTTCCATATTTTTGCAACTATTACTTTATTTGTGAGTCTATATCTTATGATGTAACCCATCATCATGCAATGCATGAACTAACACTAATCTCCCCTCTTAACTACGTGTGCATATTGCAACTTGTTTATTTTTCCATAAATACTAAAACAATAGATCAATTGATTAGGTACGTTTCGTTGACAAAAAAAAAAAAAGATTAGGTAAGTTCAAATGATGAGAATCAAACGTGTAGCTGCGAGCATAACAACGTTTTTTTTCAAGAATAAATAAGATGACACATGTAGTTTTTTGGTTTATGAAAACAAAAAACAAAAAGTTGATTTAACGTTATGTTTTTGTTTGTTTGTCAATGACATTGTGTGGCTGTTTTGTCTTTCCGATTATTTTCTTACATAAAGATGTTGGAAAAAATAAAAAATAAAAAACAAAAAACAAATAATAAAAAAAAAGATGTTGGAAAATTAAAAAACAAAGCTATGGGCCTCATATTGGGCCCAAACATTGGAGCTTGAAGTTTAGCAAGAAGCTGGGGACGTGGTTACTCCGGCGAGTAAAATGGCGTTTCTCTGTTAGTTGCTGATGTTACGTTTTGCTGTTCAAGTTTCATAGGATCACAGAAGATAATTTGGCAGAGCGTGAGTTCTAGGCCATTAAGGGTAGAGTTTCAGGAAAGGTTGTACGCGTGTATCCTCTGCCTTAACGCTACCCACTGCTTCCATTGTCGCAACTATCAGCCTCTTCTGAAGACTTGAGCTCAGCTGCAGCATATAAGGTCTGTCTATTCAATTGCTCCTATTGTATTACTACATGTACACAGTGCATAGTATAGTATAATAGACTTTTCGTGAGAGTGAGACTTGCACAGACGCCATCGTGCTGGATCAATCGGTTGTCCTATGCTACATCTGTTTTTGTGTTGGTAAATATTCTCAGTTTTCTGATGGGATAGAACTCATAGAAGACAGAGTTGTTGTCGGGAGTGTTGATCTTAACCAATGCCGTTGGCTTCCTGATGAAATCGCTGGAACAAAACCAGAGGTATATTTCTATGTTACCAACAATGCTAAACTTAAATCTTATAGTATACAGAACTGAGAAGCTTATAGTCCTTTTTTTTATTAGGGATCTAATGTGGATTTTGCTAGGGCATAGAATCACTCCGGTTGTAACCAACTTCGCCCATTGGACTTTTAATTCTAACTAGATTTTGACCCGCCCTTGAGAAGCGCGGATTTTATTTTGGTTGTAACAAAATGTATCAAATGATTCTATTTTTATTATATGATAGTTTTATATGTGAAATTTGATGTATATTTAACGTTTTAGTAAGATCTTTTCATTGAGTTCTGCATAACCGAGTCAGTTTGTGGTTGAACAGAGAATAAAAAAAATAAGTATTGTGAGAGTATGAAAAATTAAAACACATATTACATTTTGACCCGCGCTTGGATTAAATCTATTATATTAAAAGAGAAGTCATGACTCACTTCATGTGTGATTTTTTGGTTTGGATCATTCTTATAAATTTTATAAAATTTTATATAACATCATTATAATATCTTTTCATATCTTCAGTTTTTATTTGAAATATAAATAAATAGTTTTAAGAAAATTCTAACAAAATCTTTTAAAAAATCTTTTAGAATCTTTTCAAGATATAGTTTTAAAAAATATTTGATTAAAATTTTAATTATCATAAAATATAATTAAAATTCTAATTCATTTTTGTTTACAAAAAAAACAATCAAAGTTATGTAAAATACTTTTAACAATATCCCAAAATTATGTTTATGTATTATGTAGGTCAAACTTAATTTACTTTTATATATATTGCAAAATTAGAAATAAAAAATATATAATTAGTAATGTTACATAATAATGGTTTTAAAAATTGTTATAAAATAAAAATTTATAAATTTTATATTAATAATATTATAATCCACATAAATACTATATATATTTATTGATAAATTTTACTCCCTCCGTTTTTTTAATATATGATGTTTTGGATCATTGCACAAAGATTAAAAAAAATTACATTCTTTTACAACAGTATTTTTACAGATATAATTTTAAAATCATTCAACCAATTATTAAAAAACAAGTAAATNAACAAGTAAATTATTGGTTAAACATTTTTCAATAAAGTTAAAAGTAACCTTAAAACCTTAAACTATATCTTAAAATTTCAAAACATCTTATATTTTGAAACAAAATAAATCTTTTAAAACATCATCTAATTTGAAAGGGAATGAGTATTATATATTTTCAAATATTGTCGTATTAAAATACCCGCACGGTTGTGCGGGTCGAGATCTAGTAGTTTATTAAAATAATTATATTTATAATTTTTGAACAATAAAAGTAATATTCAATTTTGACCCGTGCTTTTTATATAGTTTATTTATGTTAGTTACTTTTAATTTTTGAACAATAAAAATAATATGTTAGTATAGATATAAGCATTCGTTGTTCGAAAAAAAAAATTTATTTTTCTCGTTGGTGGTTAGAAAACGGCAGCGTTTTTAAGTGTCCATTGGTTTTCACTTTCCGTTACCAATATAAAAACAGAGTAAAACGCTGGGAAAATATGAAAGGCTTAGAAATGGTGGTGACATCTTTCTCTTCAACGCCGTCTATCTTCTTCTTCTCCTCCTCCCGTGGAGCTGATCCTAAGCTTTCTTCTTCCAATCTACATGGACGCTTCACCATCCCTTTGGCTCCCTCTTCGTTCGAGTAAGCCTCTCTTTGAAATCTCTTTTCTGTTTCTCCTTCTCGTGTTTACATCTATCTCCGTTGTTCTCGTATTCTGGTGGAAGTTTTGAACTTTCCAAATGAACAGCTCAACGTAGTAGTGTTTTTTGCCTCGTAACATTTTGTTACTAGTGCTCAGGGTTGTGATTTTCTGTTGTTACGCGCCACTAAATTTTCTGTTATTTCCTTTGAATTTGTAAAACCAGCTATTTAGTTTGGGTAACTGCCACTAGTGAGACTTCTCCAACTGTGATTTTGATTTTTTTTCTTCTTCTGTAATTGAATGTTTGAGCCATTTTTTGTTTACTGTTTGGTTTAAGATATTGTTTACGTGTATGGTAACGATGAAGTTCCAGTTGTTGGATCTGTTACATTTCACACATCATACTTGGAATGTGAATGTATGCTAGCTCTTGCGTTTGGGACAAGTTTACTTATCTCTTCACACTCTTTCGATGTATTGTTTAATTAAAAGCATTGCTTATTAATTTATGCACAAGAATAAGCATTCCTCTTTTTCTGCATCTTTGTTTTTATTTTTCTTACTTACATGTCCTGCGTTTGTCCCTCTGTTACAGTGCCAGGTTCGTTTCTTCCACTTTGTTACCTCGTCTCTTGAATTCTTTTATGACATTTGTCTACCTAAGCTATTAATAAGATCATGTAGAAAAATGAATCAGTTCCACCATATTATCGGTCTCCATTCATCATACTGTTTGGATGGTTTATCAGAAACGGACTAAGAAGACACCAAGAGGCAAAGTTGGTGGGAACAAGGGGCAGAGGTGGAGCAGTTCGAGTCCTAGCAAACCCAAATGTATGTCATTAGTAATCCTCTGTTAGTGATAATAACTTCTGAAGAAATTGTGAATGGTTGCTGAGTGTCCTTTGGATTTATAAGTTCCTGCCATGCCGAGTGTTCTTGTAGGCATCATCTCCTCCTCCAGGGAAAGTAAAAGCAAAAAAGGAAGTAATCATGGTAGACCCTCTTGAGGCCAAGCGGTTAGCTGGGAAGCAAATGGAAGAGATTAAAGGCAGAGAGAGGCAACAGAGAAGGCGTGAAATAGAAGCTATAAACGGAGCTTGGGCAATCATAGGACTCATGATAGGGCTAGTGATCGAAGCTCAAACAGGAAAGGGTATCCTAGCTCAGGTATTTTTTTTTTCTCTTACTCCTCTCAGTCTTGTTGAGAAAAGAAAAGTATGTAACTAAGAGTGTGTGTTTGGTTATTGTAACTGCAGTTGGCTGGTTATTGGTCTGCAGTTCTGCATCTATTCACTTCATCAACACAGAACCTCCTACAGTAAAGAGAATTGATGTTGGTCATGTAAGTTATTAACAGTGTCTCCTCCCTGTCTATGTGCAGTCTCTAAGAAGGGTACACAAACTATATAGTATATACATACCTTGAGATCTATGAAATATAAAAACAATGCTTCTCCTTGGCATTCAGCAAGACATAAACAGTTTTTAACTTTATATTAATAAGGTACAAGGGATAAAATTAACTGTACATGTTTTATTTACACAGTAATGTTTAATATGATAATACTAAATACTGAAGTGTCAGACACAGAGAGATAAAACTTTATAGAAGATGTAGAGAGGAGTGTGGATTAGGGCTATTAAAGGAAGTAAGAGAGCTGTTCCTTCTTTCTGGAGCCTCCTTCTCCATACAAATCATTCCACTGCTTCAGTTCATTCATTCCTGCTCCTTCTGCTGCAAAGCTAGCAGCAACCTGCAAAAATGCAAATCAATTAGGCTTTTTTTTTTTCTGCACAAAGATCATCAAAACAGAACTAAATGCCTTTAACTTACCTGGCTTTTAGCTACTCTCATGTCTTCCATGCTCAAACTTCTTAGCGTTATGCCTCTCTCCTCAGATGCTTCTTCTTTTTCTTCAGATTCCTCTTCACTACGATTCTCTGCTTCATCTCTCTTCTTCCTCTCCTGGTCCTTCAAGCACTCCTGCTTTATCAGCTCCCTCACTGGTCGATATGCAGCCGTTGTGCAAAAGTTCTGTTTGTGCAACATTCACAATAATTAGACAATAAAGAGAAGACTCAGGTGTTAGGTAAAGCGAGATGAGAATCATGTCAAACCTTGAGGTCACTTCCACTATACCCATCTGTCATCTGTGCAAGCTCATGGAAATCAAGATTCTCTGTTTTCTCTTTTGACAATAAGGTTCTCAAGATCTTCTCTCTGCTCTCCACCGATGGAAGACCAACCATGATTCTGTCTCCCAACAAAACAAAAGCAGAAGCTGGAGTTAAGTAAAACTCAAGCTCAGGTTTTAAATGAGTATGTGGTCTGCTTACCTTCGCTCAAACCTCCTAATGATGGCTTCATCTAGATCAAACGGTCTATTAGTTGCAGCAAGAACAAGAATCCTATCACCGGAACTCGACATAAGCCCATCCCAATGAGTCATGAACTCATTTTTAATCTTCCTCATAGCTTCATGCTCTCCAACTCTTGTTCTCTGCCCCAACATACTATCAACTTCATCCACAAAGATTATAGTTGGAGACACTTTAGCTGCTAAGGTGAACAAAGCTCTAACATTCTTCTCATCTTCTCCAAACCACTTTGAAGTGATTGTGGACATGGACACGTTTATGAAACTAGCTCCAGCTTCGTTCGCAATGGCTTTGGCCATCATGGTTTTCCCTGTACCAGGTGGTCCAAAGAGGAGGATTCCTCTGCAGGGCTTGAGGAGACCACCTTTGAACAGGTCAGGCCTACGGAGAGGAAGCATGACAAGCTCTTGAAGTGATTCTTTGGTTTCATCTAGTGAACCTATATCAGCAAACGTCACACCAATCTCATTTGCTGGGATAACCTCTGGTCTTATCCGCTTCTCAAATTCATTATCAGGAGCCACCTCCTACAAAAATCAAAACCTGTAAGGTAAGGCAAAAATACATTTTAGAAATGAATGTTGAGTAGTATGTTTTTAGTTTACATTTACAGGTGCTTTTGGTGGCAATGGACATTCATTCTTTGCTGTAGAAATTGATGTTTCTAAGTCATTTTTGTTTTCAGGAACCGTCTCAGATTTGGGCTCACTCTTTGCTATCTCTTCACCTTCTTCTCCCTGCACCAGGGCCAGTAACATTTCAGACACCTTTAAGATTTCAAAAGCACATGGTAAAACTGTGAGTACCTTGGAGTCAGTGTTTCTTTCCAGCTTCAAGGAGTCTTCAGGGTATCTGTTACCTTCCTGGAGTATACTCAGTCCATGGGACAAGCTGGTGCAGAATCGTTTTAATCAGATTAGCTTAAATAAGATGAAACAATTGTTTTCTTGAAGAGATGATTATTCTTTGTTAGTACCTGTTGGAAGATATTACAAGCCTGCCGTTTTTGTATTCAGGTTCTTTATTATTCATCAAATGGTAAGAGATTGCGGAAACCACAATCTCCTCAATGTGGCTGCTCAGGAACATTGTATCCGCATGGCATATGGAACCTAAGTCATCACATTCTAGATCATTAGCGGCAAGAACCTCAGCTATGTGATTCTTGTTGTCCTGAAACTGTATCAGTTTCATGTCGTCTTCGAATCTTGTTTTCCAGCTCATGAGCTGAGACTCATCCTCTGGTGGTCTGATCTCTATGTTGTAAGGAAACAAAGCAGAAATGCCTTCTCCTACTTCTTGGCAGTCATCTTCAGGTTCTAATAGTCTTGAGCCGAGAAGTAAAACAGGACCAGAAAGCTTGGATAAGAGCCTCTGGAACAACTTATAGAACCTCTCTGACTGAATAAGCTTCTCAACGTCCCTTAGGTATATTATTATAGGATTGGTTTCCGAAACCGAAACCAAGACCTTGTAAAGTGACTGAAGGAAAAGTTTCTCATCGAAACACAAGTTTGTACTGCGTTTGCTTGAACCTGTAAAAAGGTATAAACAGCCACAAATGAACATGAGGTCTAAGAGAGTTTAGGCCTAGTTTTGATGGTTCCACACCTGAAACAGAACTTGCAGAACGGGAAGATATGCTACTGATATCAGAAGCAGCAGAAGCATTTCGCTTCAAGCGAGGAGGATGACTTGAACTTTCAAAGCCCCTGGTACTTCAAAGGAACTAGTGAGCTTACATAAAACATATAAAGTCATATCTTCCAGCTTTATTAAAACCAGCCAATAGAGTTTCAAGCTACGCATAAGAAGAAGTAAAACAACTATATATGACAAGCAAAATGTACCTTGAGGTCAGATCGTTGCCACTAGTGAGCCTACGCAAGGTTCCTACCATTTACAGTAAGTCAATAATGCTTTTCACATGAGTTTTATTAGGGGAAAATCAATCTTTATAAGCAAGTGATTAGATAAATTTGATAATGTATACACCTCTTGTGTCTTCCTTTTGTGTGAGCATAGAGAAAGATCCCATCAAATTCGACATTTTGTCCAGTGTCATCTCAGAAATAGATCTCTTGTGAGACTAGCACACAGTAAAGAAGAAATAAACCACAATCATGGTCTATAAAAACAAAAATTTAAACTACACAAGATAAGATCACAAACTAACGTACAGGTTCCTTCCTGCTGCATCCATACTTGCTCTGCATCTGTATCATTGAATAAGAAAGATAAAAGCTTACAAACTACTCTTTTCATGACAAAATAATAAAACTCTATACATGTATGCAATAAGTGTTACCTTAATAGAGAAGTCGGTTACATCTAGTAACAATAGTTTCGATTCAAAATAATGAGCCAATGCTTTTGCAAGCATCTGCTGATAAAATTCTGCAGAGAAAAGAGAAACAAAACCAAATTCACACCACATTTGGCTAACAAGGTGACTGAGATTTAAACACAAAGAGGAAGAGAGATGTTTACCAGCAGGTCCAGACAGTAGAATAGCCTTACTCGCAGGTGCAAGATTACGTGTATGCTTGGAGATATCAAACTGCTTTAGGTGAACATAAGCTGCACTTGTCAATAAAAGCCTCGTTTTCTCGCTGCAACATCAAATAGCAAAAATCATCAGTAGAGGATCCAACATTTTCAAACAAACACATCTTTCTTGCATGACAAGCAATTTTAACGTGCGTGTTTTTACCTAAGGTAATAAGGAAACTCGTCGAAAGTGACACTACTCTCTCTTCCATCAACAATCTGCCTCACCAACTCTTGCTCAATCTTTTCTCCCGTAAGCCCATCCTCTCCAGAAACCGAGCCGTTTGCCCATTTACCCAAACCTTGACCCGACGCTAGCCCGAGACCAAGCCCAACACCAACGCCTAACGCTGAAAACAACACGCTCTTCTGCTCCATTTCTGCCTAACAAATCCTTTGTTCAAAACCAAAAGCATTCCCTGATAGAAAGGTGGTCTTTGTGTGTGTTTTTTTTTCTTTCTTTTTCAAATAACCAAGTTTGTTTTGGTCTCACAAGTTTTTGTAGTGGCTGATTTGTTTTTTGTGGTAAATAAGAATGTGGTGGGTGATGCAGAATACAAATAGGGTTGATGGGTGTGGGACGATCGTCCTCTATCTATAGAAATGCTTGCCGGGAAAATCAACCATTTGTAAAGTTCCTAATAAAAATAGACTAGGAGGATATTGATCTATTTAAATTAGTATTTGAAGGCCCATTAGTGTTCTGTGGAAAAATAGTATTGAAGGGCCCAATATCATTTATACACAGTAAGTAACCAGTCATTAAACTCTACCACCAAAATTCTAAGCATAAATTTTGGTTTAAGAATGTGTACTACACAGTGAAAAGTACAGACCGTTTTATATTTTTGTTTATAAATAAAACATTAGAATATTTGACTTCATTTCTGAATGTACGGAAACTAATGAAGCACAGACGCGGCTACACGAGACGTCAAAGAGCCACTTCTTTAATTTGATGACTGTATGTATGACTTTGGAGTCAAAACACACATTCCAAGGAACAATTTATCACTGAATTTCTTAACGTAATTGTTTGTATATTTCATGAGAAGGTTCTTGTATGCTCTTTACCGTCGTTATATATATTGTTGCACTAATAGGTTCTTCTAGCAATACCGTGGGACAAGTTCTAGACATCACCGCTTGATGAAAGATCCTTTTAGCTGTACAGAACAAATATAAGACAATTAAAAGAGACTGTACACAACGCACTACTAGTCAAAACACAACTACTTGAATAAAAACAAAAGTGCAGAAACATCAAACTTTATCTTTCTTTCCACAGCTCTAAAACTTTATCTCAACACCACTTTACGAAAAATATCCCGTTCTTACCGCACATATAAACAGTATATTCTAGTCTCTCGGTGGACTTATTTGACTTATATATGGGGGCAGTCATTGTCCCCTCCCCATAACTAATTCACTATACACTCATCAGATCTACATCTTTTGTTTCCATTGCTTTCTCTGTAAGTATAAGTGGTTTATATGTTGGATACAGTTAATCCGATAGAGAGCAGTATGTATCTTTGAATGTGACGTTTTTAGTTTGGTTTATATGTTTATGAATGCAGTTCCAAATTTTTAATGTACTAAAGCAGAGAAAACATGAATAATCCGGGATCAGCTAGTCATTCAGTTTCTCCAGCAACTCCAGATCTATTAGACAACTATCGTCAATCAAGCTGTGGCGAATTTTCGCGGTTAGATAAACGAATTGGACCGAGGAAGATGACGTTTCACTCCAAGTCTATGCCTAGAGGTTCCATGTTTCTTGACCAAGAAGCTTGTAGGAGCTCTCACGACAAGAGGTATGACCTATTCAGGACCATGTCAGGAAAGCTGGAACGTCAGATATCGAATTTACGTGGAAAACCAATTGATAGTTCGTTGCAGGAAGATGAAGAGATCACTGAATCTCTAACCGCTGATAGATTCTTCGACGCTCTTCAAGGCCCTGAACTTGAAACCCTCAAGGTATTGTTCTTGCTTTTTTTTTTGTAACACCACATAGTATTGTTCTTGATTTATTTGCCAAAAACAAAAAAAACAAAAAAAGAAGGATTTTTTTTTGCAACTTCATGTTAACAAACGCAAATTAACCTAAAAATATATAAAAACAAAATGAAGAGAGCAAAATCCAAATTGAGTTAGAATACCCGTTTGTATATATATATATTATATATATATATATATATATATATACAATCTTTACACTTGTACTTTAAAACTGATATTCTCTTAAGAAAACATTTTTTTATTAATTAAAGTTAATTTTCTAATCTTGGAAATCCCACCAAATGAATATGATTTTTACTGGTGCATTGAAATTTAAGTCACATAAGTTTATGATGTTTTTTTTTTTTGTAATGATGTTTGGTATTGGTGGGAAGAACAGGAGAAGGAAAAGATAGTTTTGCCAGAGGACAAAACGTGGCCGTTTCTTCTACGCTTTCCAATAACATCGTACGGGATGTGTCTTGGAGTAAGCAGTCAAGCCATCATGTGGAAGACCTTAGCAACCACAAAAGCCGAGAAGTTCTTGCACTTGACGCAAGTGATCAACCACGTGCTTTGGTGGATCTCTCTCGTCCTCCTCCTCGCCGTCTCCTTTACTTACCTCTTCAAAACCATCTTCTTCTTCCAAGCGGTTCGCAGAGAGTTCAAGCATCCTATACGAGTCAACTTCTTCTTCGCTCCTCTCATATCAGTCCTCTTCATGGCACTTGGAATCCCACATTCCATAACCTCGAATCTTCCCTCTATCCTTTGGTACTTCCTGGTGGCTCCGGTCTTGTTTCTTGAAATTAAGATTTACGGACAGTGGATGTCTGGTGGACAAAGACGCCTCTCCAAAGTTGCTAACCCTACAAATCACCTTGCCATCGTAGGAAACTTCGCCGCAGCACTTCTTGGAGCATCAATGGGGTTGGAAGAAGGACCAATGTTCTTTTTTGCTATAGGGTTAGCTTATTATTTGGTATTGTTTGTGACTCTTTATCAGAGACTTCCCACAAACGAAACATTACCTAAAGAGCTTCACCCTGTGTTTTTCCTATTTATGGCTGCACCGGCCGTAGCTTCCATGGCTTGGACCCAGCTTTATGGCTCTTTCGATCTTGGTTCTCGCCTTGCTTACTTCATCTCCTTGTTCTTGTACTTGTCTCTGGTAATTTTTTTTTTCTTCAGTAAATATAGTTGCATTGAAAACAGAGCACAGTTGCTTGCTGCACAAGAAATGTTAATTACTTCACTTCTTGTTGGTTCTTGTTTCAGGTTGTTAGGATCAACTTTTTCCGTGGATTCAAGTAAGCTATTTCTCAATCTTATTAGCAGAGTCTAGAGAACAAATAAATTAGATGTAATATTATATTCTTATAAATGTCAGATTCTCGCTAGCATGGTGGGCTTACACCTTTCCTACGACGGCGGTGGCAACTACGTCGATAAAATACTCAGGCGAAGTCACCGGTTTAGCAACTCAAGTCTTGGCGATCGTGATGTCTGGAGCAGCAACTATGATGGTGATAGGTGTCCTTGTATTGACGGTGGTGCACGCTTTTGTGAAATGTGATCTATTCCCCAACGACGTTGCCATTGCCATAAGTGCAGAGCAGCCGAAGCAAAAGAAATGGTTCAAACAACTGAAGAGTGGAAGTTTTGGAAATAGTATGAGATGTCTCAAGGTTTCGGACCAGGAAGATAGTCAAATTGATGTGGAAGCCCCTCCTTTATTAAATGCACACACGGTTTAGTTAACCAAATCATTTAGCTCAGAGGTATGAAACAAAAAAAGTACTATAATAAAGCAGAAGTCAGCAAAAGAAAAAGAAAAACTATCTAGGGAGGACACTGGTTGCAGCCTCCTCGAATTTAGGCATGTGTGTTTTACTCTCACAACTATTACTCATGTCTTTGACAAGAGTACAAGAAAACACCACTAGAACCGCTAATCTATTTTCCTAAAACTCAATCCCGTTCTTGAAAACTGAAGTTATCATCAGAGGTAGACGAATCCATGTTCTTCTTCTTCTCTTTTGTATCTTTATATATATAAATATCCTACTAGTATCTTTGTAACTAGTAGAGACATCCAAGTTGCAGCCGCTTGGCTTCTTAATCATTTTGCACTATACTAATGTACCAAGACACAAATATGATCACCAAGTGTATCTTCAAGCTATCTTAGTATCCTTGAACTCAATTTTTTTCTTTTTCATGTTTGTACAATTTTTTTCTTCTGGTATCATTTGTTGAATCAAGTGTTGCTTACAATATTTTGTGGGCTGGTAGATGTGTTACCATGTCTGGACCTTCTAATTAAAGTGATATATATGTGAATTTTGCAAGTTTTGAGCCTGATTAAAGACTGATTCTTATTGGTCTATATATAGATTTTTGCTAACATTTCCTCATATTTATTGAATCTTTCACACATCTCCTACAATCAAACCAGATAACAATTAAATTTAGTTGTAACAACACTACACAAGCAAAGCAATACTCACCGCAGTTTCAAATTTAACATTGGTATTGAGTCTAAGACATTAAGTTGGACTGGAGACCTGGTTGAGACGACGGAAACCACGATTTTCATTAGTCAGAGTGTTCCACAAGCAGGGTTTATCCAGCATGCAAGGTCTGTCCCAGTCACTCTCACTTGCAAGAGAGACACTTCGCCGCAACGTACGTCATATCAACATCTTTGTTTGACATGACATCTTTGTTTGACAATGCATTCGACTGTGCGCCTAAGACATATTCACTAAATTGAACTGCTACAAAAGAAACTTGAGAGAATAAAAACAACAATGATAAGAACGCTTTCACTTTCTTATCAAGAAACAAGCATAAACAACTAACTTTCTGAGGTATAATTCTCTATTTATATTATTCATTCTTTCATGTAACAAATTATTCATCTTTTTACTTTCAGCTCATTATCTTCTATGAACATATCAATCAAATAAATGCAAATACAAAAAGTTGTCTACTCACCTTAATTTTGATATCTTCAATCTCATTCAAGGAATTTTGGGCTTCCTCTGCATCTTTGCATTGAGCAAACTAAGCCAGAAAAAAATGATGTAAGGAAATGAAAAGAAAGACAACAACTTAAAGTAAAAACAATGCCAATTTACATACCTGGATAAATCCAAAACCTTTGGATTCACCGGTTTTGTGGTGACATAGTAAAAGTGAAGAAGATCTACACCAATACTTACCAAACAATATGAAAGATTAACCACACAAATGTCAAAGAGAAATGCATTGTTTGTGCACACAAAAAAAAATGCACAAAAAATAAAAGAACTGTATTGTTGTGGGGAATGGTTAAGACAGAGACAAACATGTGAAAAATTGATATTTAAACTAACTATAAACACTATTGTTGGATTCTTGTTTTTTGAAAATAAAATTCTCACAAATGATAATAAGAAAGTTGTAAACTTATGCAAATTGATGAATCTTTTAGAACTAAATATTAACATAATTTGTATTATAGTCTTAGCTTTCAAAGTTTATGAAATTTTTTAAATAATATTTTCCTAGTGATAATCTTAATCCATCTTTAAATTAAACGAAAAATAAGAAAATATAGGAGCGTTTTTCTATTTGAAATTGTTATTAAGAAAATTGACAATCATGTATTGTCTCTTGATTCTCTATTTTTATGTTTAAGATTTAATAATACAATACTTTTTCTCAAATAAAAAGATTTAATAATACAATTAACTTATAATTTATTATATAAATAAGATAGTACTCTTTTATAAATTCTATATACATACCTACTCGTATCTTTGTAACTAGTAGAGACATTCAAGTTGCAGCCACTGAGCTTCTTGGTGGGTGTTATTCAGTCCTGTATTTTAATAGAGTTTAAATCTAGGCAAAATTCATTTTATTCGATTGATATGATTCTAAATTCTATTTTAAAATTTAGTGTTATTGATTATAATATTTATAAATCTAATTTAAAATCTGGTGTTATTCAATGGATAATTAAAATTCAGTTTTTAAAATATAGTATTATTCAAATTCAAAATATTTTAAATTTCTTTGTATTTAGAATTGATTTCGAATCATTTCTCGTGGAGTATAATGAACAATATATTAAAAATAAAAATCCAAGGTTTACTGCAGAAATTTTAGAATTCGCCAACTAAATCTATATTTGAAATTTAAATTTAAATTGATTACAAAACATTCACCATTGATTTTAATGCAAATCTTCCGGGAACACTATATGTAATGTACACACAAATACATTCACCAAGTGTATCTTCAAGCTCTCTTTGACAATTCTTTTTTTATGTTCTTACAATTTTGTTCTTCTGATGTATCATTTGTTGAATTAAGTGTTGCTTACAATATTGTAGACTGGTAAGTGTGTTACCATGTCTGGACTTTTCAAGTTAAATTGATATATATGTGAATTTTTCAACTTTTGGATTGGACTGAATCAAACTAGTCCGATTAACATATCTAGTCATGGGGAGACATGGATCATCACCATCATCAAAATGTAACTAGCACATAAATATATGTTGATCAAATCTAATTTGAGAACCTTATTCTTTCCAACTAAACCAAATTTCCTCTACTTATGAATAATGAGACACAAAGAAAACCCCAAATTTATCAGAAAATGCGAAGAATACAATTAAGCCTCTTGAAAGACAAGCTCATTGTCATTTGTCACATCAACCATTGACCTTCACAGAGCCATCGGGAACCTCGAAAGCAAGGAAATCGACATCAGATGATTCGTTTCCCAAAAGGTTACTACTAGCCGTCGGATCATACGACTTATTAACGCTCGAAAAACGACGTCGCGTTCGATGTGAATGGAGCAATCGGCGCCACATGATAGGAACAATCAAGCGCGTTTTTTAATAACATTGATACCGTAAGTGAAACGCTAAGTTTGGCCCACCCAAAAAAAAAACAATATTTTAATCATAAGAAAGAATAAAGCAGAGTCCCACTCAAAAAAAAAAAAAAAATCAACGAAGCAGAACATTTTCCTCAACCCTATTTATTGTGGTCGCGACCATAGAGAGAAGAGAAACCATTACAGTTTCTCCCTTCTCTTCCCTTTGTTTTAATTCTTCTCCTAAATTTCGAAGAATCTAAGCTAAACGTGAAAGGTATAGCTTTTATTGTCGTAACGTATGATTATTAGCTCTCTGTGTTCTTACATCTCTCTGAACTTTTTTTTTGTTTTTGGATGGTAAAAAGGTATTTGGAGATGGCATCGAAACGGATTTTGAAGGAATTGAAGGATCTGCAGAAGGATCCTCCGACTTCATGCAGCGCAGGTTACTAATCTTTACGATTCGATTTTGTTTTTTTTTATGTTACTCTGCCTGATGATGTTGATGGATCGGAGCCTCCTTAAGTTATTACAGTTTAGCTTTTGTTCTTTTTCTTTGCTCTGGTTTTGTGTATTGATCTCTCTCGTTGGCTTAGATCTAAATCATCTGTTTAGTTTTTGTATTTTTGTTTTATGGATAATTTAGCTGCAAATGACATAGAGAGATTTATTAATTACTAGAGGTTTCATCATGATAACCCTTATGTTTGATTTGGCATAAAGTTCCAGACTTTAATTTGATTCGTTAGCCAGATCTGGTTTCTGTTGTGATTTTCTGAAATAAGATCTTAAAATTTTGAACTTTGTTTCCTTAATTTGGCTCAGCTTCTCCATGTTTATATTCACACTTTTGGTTGGTTGCATATTATGACAGGACCTGTCGCGGAAGACATGTTCCATTGGCAAGCCACGATAATGGGTCCATCGGACAGCCCTTACTCTGGTGGAGTTTTTCTTGTTACCATTCATTTCCCTCCTGATTATCCTTTTAAACCTCCCAAGGTATACTTTCAAAACTTCTCTGAAAACATTGCATGTTGTTTCTCTGTGGTTGCTTCGTTTGATTTTACTCATGTGTATTGTTTGTGTGACAAAAAAAAATAATGTAGGTGGCTTTTAGGACTAAGGTGTTCCACCCAAACATCAACAGCAATGGGAGCATCTGCCTCGACATCTTGAAAGAACAGTGGAGTCCTGCCCTCACCATTTCCAAGGTTTTATATTTGTTCTTCCTCGTTTTTTCTATCATATATGAGAACCATAGAACAGCTAGTTGTGGTAGTAATAGTCCGTTACACATGAAAACGAACTTTACTTTTGCATCAACTGAGATCAGGGTTATTTATTAATGTGCGTGTGATGCAATAGGTGTTGTTGTCGATCTGTTCGTTGTTGACGGATCCAAACCCTGATGATCCTTTGGTTCCGGAGATAGCTCACATGTACAAGACAGACAAGAACAAGTACGAGTCCACTGCTCGTACCTGGACTCAAAAGTACGGAATGGGCTAACACTCTCTGTTACTGTCCGCAAGGACGAGCCCCACTTAATAACTAAAATCTCTTCTCATTTCTATGTAATGATATTTATAAACTTTTCTGTCTTATTAAAAAAATTGTGAAGACGAGATCAGTAAGAAATCACATGATCTCCATTCTCATTTCAATCCCATGGAAACTTATAAAACTTAAATCATTTCGTTTCCATTTGCTGATTATTCTGTGTGTTCTACTATATATTGGCTTTTTCGATGAGCTGAAATACCTTTGGTATTACATTCTTTCTAAACTAGAATCGTAAGCCTGTGTTGACAAACAAAAAAGACTCGTAAGCCTGACCGTTAGTGGTTTATATGAGCTTAAATGCTGCGTGAA